TTGACCAATGGTGATGTGGGGATGATGGGGGACATCCTGAGGTGCAGGCTGATGGAGGACCTCTGTCTTCTTTAAGCTGACCTCCAGACCAAAGAGCTCAGCAGCATCTGCAAAGCAGGATGTTAAACGCTGCAGAGCTGCTTCTGTGTGGGCAACAAGGGCGGCGTCATCAGCATAAAAATGGATGAAAATATATTGCTTGTAATGTATTATTTAAATAGAAGAAATTGTGGCACAGGGAACAATGTCACCACAATCTAAGGAGGTGTCCTGGCTTCAGCAGGCAATCAGCCTCACTGGCAGTGAGTGGCAAAAGCCCCCCATGGTGACTGGCCTGGAGGATCCCTGTCATGGGCTACCTCAGACTATTTCAAGCACCTGAAAGGGTACTGGTGGGTTTTTGGTAAGGCCGCCTCGGAGATGGAGGAAATGAAACAGTTCTGCCCTGCCTGGTCTCTTGGGGGACCCTTTTGCTGTTCAGGGCTGAAGAACAACTGGTGCTGATTCCTACCACAACGGTGCACTGTTGGCAGTCAAGCCCCTGATCCCATCCCTGAGATGATCCATTGACTGGAGAGCCCAGGAGGGATCAGCAAGGCCTGCTCACCCTTCAGCAGTCCCTCCTGGCTGGTGTGAAAGTCTGATGGAGAATAGGGACTAACAGGTTATTGTGACACGAATGAGGTCACACTGAGTACTCCTGTCCTGGGCATGCTGGAACTTCCTCAGGACTGCAGCCAGAGGAGCCCAGTGCTGGGCCACAGCTGATGGGGCTGATGCATTTTCTCAGTGTCCTAGTTAGAACAGCTGGGACCAGTTCATCACTGGATGGGTGTAACCCAAAACTGGGTATTCCAGAGCCTTCCATGCCATTGCCCAGAAACTGTTCTCAATGAACCATTTCCACCCTCTGCCCAGAGCAGCCCTGACCCCTCAGGCTGCAAACTGGGTGTTCAGAGGCCTGGGAGACAGGAGGGTGCTCCTGTGCTCACACCAGTGTGGAACTGGGAGACAGGAGGGTGCTCCTGTGCTCACACCAGTGTGGAACTGGGAGATAGGAGGGTGCTCCTGTGCTCACCCCAGTGTGGAACTGGGAGATAGGAGGGTGCTCCTGTGCTCACACCAGTGTGGAACTGGGAGATAGGAGGGTGCTCCTGTGCTCACACCAGTGTGGAACTGGGAGATAGGAGGGTGCTCCTGTGCTCACACCAGTGTGGAACTGGGAGACAGGAGGGTGCTCCTGTGCTCACACCAGTGTGGAACTGGGAGATAGGAGGGTGCTCCTGTGCTCACCCCAGTGTGGAACTGGGAGATAGGAGGGTGCTCCTGTGCTCACACCCAGTGTGGAACTGGGAGATAGGAGGGTGCTCCTGCCCTCACACCCAGTGTGGAACTCCCCATCCTGAGGGAGGGACTGGGCATTCCTGCCTGAACTGGAGGATATATATAATCTTGGAGTCTTGGGACTTTTTTAACCACTCGTGGGAACCACTCTCTTCATGCCCCAGGGTGCTGGGTTATACATTTGGGTTTTGTGGGTTAAAACCAACTGTTTGTCTGTATAATCGTATTTATTGTATTATTTTATTAAATTGTTATTCTGACTTACAATCTCTCTTTTGAGTTGAGTTCATTTCCTCTGCTGGTTTACCTTTAAACCAGCACACTCAGTCCCTCTGGTGGCAGAGTGCAGGCCACACTTGGCTTTCATTTGGAGGGCTGTCAGTCCACCTGGACCTGACTGCCCCAGGGGTGGAAGCAGTTCTGCCATCTGCCAAGGCCTGATCCAGACCTCACTGGAACAGGATAAAGCTCTGCAACACCCACAGTACGTTGATGAGATCGTGGTTTGAGGCAGCACAGCAGAAGCTGGGCTGATAACACACTGAAGGTTCAGCTGTGCTAAGTTGTGGTCACTCCAAACCTCTGCCACGGAGGAGCTGCACAAGGAGCTGAGGGAGCAGAGCTGGGACAGCTGAGCAGAACTGGCCAAAGGGATGTTCCACACCACACAGTGTCATGCCCAGTATATAAACTGGGGGAGTTGGCTGGGAGCTGCTGGGGGATGGGCCTGGAATCAGTCAGCTGGTGGTGAGTGTTTGTACTGGGCATCACTTGTTTCTCTTGGTTTTCCTGTCTCTCTGTCCCTCTCTCCCTCCTTTTCATTAATATCATCATTGCTGTTTTTATCATTAGCATTATAATTGGTGTTATATTTTATTTTGTTTCAATTATTAATTTTTTATCTCAACCCATGAGTTTTACTGTTTTTTCCCAATTGTGTGCTCAGCTGGGAGCAGGGATGGATGGATGGGTGATGGAGGAGCTGTCTGTGCTCAGCTGGGAGCAGGGATGGATGGATGGGTGATGGAGGGGCTGTGTGTGGTAGGTGCTCCGTTGCCAGCTGGGGTTAAACCCCAAGGAAAGGCTGTGCAGTTGCTTTCCAAGTCTTCTGTTTTAAGCCTAAAGCTCCCCAGGAGCAGGGGGTACACCCAGCAGTCCCCTTGGGCTGTGGGAAACAGGGCTCTGTAATAAGGCTGTGAATGTCTCTGCCTTCCCTCCTCTGCTCAGCATTTCATGCATGTTGCTTTTGTTTGCCTTCCACCATTTCCAAGCACTGTGCCAGGTTACAGCATCCTTGCAGCACCTCTGCAGGTGTGGGCTTTTCTTTCTACTTCATTCACTTACAGCCAGACAAAATTCAGCCCAGCCCACTCAAAGGGCATCTGGAATGATTGGTATCTTTCTCTCTAGTTGAGTTTAGACACAGACCAGCCTGGTTCCCACTGATCCTGAGTTTGGAGCAAAGGTTGAGGAATCATTAGGGGCTTGAGGTTTTCAGCACTTCTGAACATTGTGTGGCTGAGTTTGACCTCCCTACTTAAATTAAAGAATGCAATTAGAAGTGTTTCCTAAGAACCTGAGTTTAAAACTCTGCATGGTCTAATGACCAAGTCCAAACCACAGCCTGGGTGTCTGTTCTCAGTCCCCTGTGACTCACAGGAATGCAAACTCAGGATTCTCCTTAGGAGGCTGTTTGATTTGATCAGATATTTGGCCAGTGGTAATTAACTCCTTGGAGACACTAACTTGCAGGAATCCTGGAACAATTAAGTCTAAGGTGACAATGATTATCTAAAAACATGCATCTGACTTTGAGCAAGTGAATATGCAAACAGCACTGATGAACCCTGTTTGTTTAAATGAATATGAGGATCTTCTGCAGTTTGGTTTCCAGTGGTTTTAAGGCAAAAGGACAAGCACTTGTGTCCAGCAGGAGGGAGCAGAGCTGCACAGAAGGGAAGATTTAGGTTTACCGACTACATTTCACATAATCCTACAGGATTTAAAGATAAATCCTACTGTGTAGAACTGCAGTGTCTGACTCACCCCTTTCAAAGTGCTGTGAACATGAAGAATGTGACCATTTATCCATGAGGCAAAGCCTCCTATCTTAACTGATCCTGGTCCTCCTTGGAGACTTTCTTTGGAAGAGGTTAATTACACTGACGTGTGCTCCAAACTGGAGAGAGAAATGGTAAACTTTCCCTCTCCAGCCTGTGCTGTGCTGTCAAACAATCCTCCTAATTGTGCTTACAGCTCTCCTTTGACTGAGTGTTGTTTGCTGCCTTTAGTTCCACACTTTAGATTTTACAGGACAAAATGCAGGTGTGTGTGCAGGGTGCAGCTGAAATCCCAACTCACTGCACACCAGGGGCTGGAGATGGCTTTGTGCACATCTGCCATGCACTGCTCTCTGCCACTGAGTGTCACCTGCTGCACTACAGCAATTTTCTGCTTCTGTTCTTCAGGATTCTCTCCCCAGTGCTGGGAAGCGAATCTGTACCTGAGTGGGTGTGCTGGCAGGCCCAGACTCTGGGCTGGGGTAACGAGGCATAAAAGCTCCACCCGATAACAAGCAATAAAACTGAAGCGTCATGTTTATCTGAAGCCATGTCTTGACTCTTTCTTCAGGTGGATTCTGCTCCAGTTTTGCAGAAAACACCACAGGTGTTGTTTTGTTGCTGCTGCAAAGTTACTTTGGTTCATGAGATGGCTGAAGGTCCCCTTTCCTTCACTCACATGTGTTTGGCATTAAAATGAACATACAACTAGTAAGAAATTTCTTTCCAGTCCCTACTGGAAAGGGAGTTTGACAAATGCCAAGGAGAAGGCAAAGTAGGGCATGACAAGAGCTGAGAGATTGTTTTAGGGCACGGTACAATGAATAAAAAGAAATTAAAATCCCTCCTAAACTTGATTCTCTCAGGTTTTGCCTCAAACTGCACAAAATGAGAACTGATGGTCTGTGAGGAAATTAAAAGAATTTCAGTCATACCAAAAAAGGGGAAGTTTGGCAGCAACAAACTGCTGCCTGTGTCTCTCCTCTGCTGGGACTGCTGTGTGCTCATCCAGGTAATTCAGATGCTTTTCCCCAAGAGCTGCCTCAGGGAACTCTGCAGCCTTTCAACCCCCTACACAATGAAGCCTCTGGGGCCACTGAGAGGGGGCCAAAAACTGAGGGACTTCATATGACTGGTGTTTGTGCTAGATAGATTTGTATTCACCTGGATAACCCAGAGCATCCTGCCCTTTCTGTTAGAGAAGAGTGGGTTTTAAAATTCTGAGCAACGGGGACCTCACCTTGCTTTCCTTTAGGAGCAGAACAACTCTGTAAATCCCAGAAAGGCAAGTCTCCAGGAAAGGAGACTCCTCTTGCCCTATAAAGGCAAATTCATTGCTTTGTCCTTCTTTCTTTCTGCCTTTTGATTTTTAATGTGAGGCATCTTTCCCTGCCCAGGGAAAGGAAGGTTGTAACTCTGAAAGCCTTGTTTGTAAGGTACACACCCTGGGACTTGCCCAGCTCTCTGGGTGTGTGTCCTGTGTTGAGAGCCCTGAAAAGAGCATTGGAAGGGCTCAAAAGGGGCCAAAGAGAGGCAATCAAAATGTATTTCTGCAGGTGTTCATAAAAAACAAAGGGTAGAGTAAAGACAAACAAGTTGGAGTCAAGCTGTGATTTAATTGAAAGCTCTGGTCACCAACTGATCTGTTTTAGGATCTGAATCCTCAAGAAGGAATCTCTGGAAAGAGGAGATGCCAGGGAAGAAGGGCATCAGGGTTGGCTTTGGGCAGCAGCTACAAAGCTGCAGCTGGAGCATCCAGACAAGGCTCAAGAATGGGATGATTTTCAGGCATAGTTATTGTTGTGACAGTACGTAAGGGCCAAATATTGAAGGACGTCAAGTCTAATACATGATCCGAGGCTGAATTGTGGTCCTTGAAAAACAAGAAAATAAAAAAAACATTACCCTGAGATTCTGGGTTAGATGCTGTTGAGTGATCTGTGCATTTGTAGACAGCCCTTAACACCTGGCACATTTCACTTGCCTTTTGAATCCCATTGATCCCCTCAGGTGCCAAAGCAATGCCCAAAGCAAAGCAAGCTGGGAGCAGAGGGAAATGCTGCCATGCCAGAATGCACCATCCTGAGCCTGAGCTGTAAAGCAGCTTTCCATGACAGGTTTGGAGACAATCAGCTTGCAGGAAGGCTCAGAATGCTTTGATGGTGCTTCAAGATTAACTCCTCAGTTTTACACAGTTCCCTTGGATATATTTAAAACAAATGTCCTTTTTCCCACCAATGCAAAATTCTATTGCAAGTGATCAAAATACAATTAAGGCACCCACAGCTGATTTCTACCAATCTCCACACCCATAGCTGCCATTCTACAGGGGTGTATTTTTGTTGCTTGGTCTCTGTCCATCTCGAGCTGGAAGAGGACCACTGGTGCAGCAGTCATTCCCCGAGGGAAAAAACACCAGGTCAGGAGCACTCAGAATTCCTCTGTTGGTACTCACCATGAACTTCATAAGCCACGTAAGTTGTGAGTCCTCTGCACATAGAGAAGGTGTCTGGTCCGTAAGACTCGAGGTCCCGAACATTCCTCTTGATGAGGGTGAACAGAATCTCCTTTGCAGGTGGTCTTGGACGGTTCTGGTTCTAAACATCAAATGACAGCACTCAGCAGGATCAGTGCTGGGATCTGTTTCATGCCGAGCATATCCCGAGTTTTAATCGTTATGAAAGTTATAAAAATAATCTGAGTGATCTACAACATTGGCAAAACATGAAATCCCCCCACTGGAAGCATCTGAACAAGGGTATTCTAATTGTTCAAAGGTTTCAAGTTAGGTTGATGTAAAATGTCATTGAAATCAATAGAAATGCCTAATCAGTGGTGTGATGAACATGGCTTTTGCAGTACCTGTTGGTTTAGAAGCTTTTGGAAATAGCCTAGGATATCAGTTTACTTTGCATTAAGTACAACTTTTCAAGTAACTCCTCCTTTTCTGTCTTACCCTGCTCTCTGCAGCCAGTTGGGGAAGTGCATCAAAGCTGGGCATCTCCGTTCTGTTCATGATGGAAATGTAGCAGGCTTTCTCTGGCAGCACTCTGGTTGCCATAAAGCCCTGTAAAATAAAGTGATTGACAACTAGGAACTCATTCTTTCAATCATTAGTGTTGGAATTAAGTCTGTATTAAAAAAGTAATAAATCAGCTTTTACTAAATGCACGAGCCAGTCCCCTCGTAGAGTCTCTGAAGAAGCCCCTTCCCCACCACTCACCGTGTCGTAGTTCCAGAGGGTTTTCCATGACCCCTGGTGGGTCCTTTGCTCGATACTTGCCACGAGCCAATATTTATTGATGGTCATAAGTTGGTAGCCTCCAGTAATGGAGACTTTCTTGCTTACTTCCATCTTTTGAGTCTAGAAAACCAAACGAAAGTACACTTGGACTGACTTTCAAGTGATTGTCTCCCCAAAGCTTTAGAAAAATGCAAGAATGAAGGAGATGTCCCAAAGCAGGGGATATAGAAACAGCAGCTGTGCAGGTGGGAATTGGTCCCTGTACTCACATTTTCACCAAGGGCTGGAGTCAGGACGAGTCCAAGAAGGACTGCAGTCAAAATCTGAAATGAAAATCAAATACAAAAGTGTAACTGCAGGTCTGGCTGGTGAATCTGGTCATGAGAATCCTCATGCCCTTTTCCTAATCTGCTGTTGAAGTGTCCTCCTTGGATCCTCTTTTGCTTTCATCCTGGGATTGCAAGAGTGCCCTAAAGTGAGTCACCCTCTCTTTGCCCCAGAGTGCCGCAAACTGGACTCGTTTCACAGTTGCTGTTTCAAGAGCTGAATCTCAAGTTGCTTCTGAGACCTGAACAGGCACACAGAGGTATTTTACAAGAGTGAGGAGAAAGCTTTTCCACTTCTTCTGCTCTGCCATTACAGGGAAGTGGTTGATCCATTAATGCAGTGCTCCAGTTTTGCAAAGCATTGACAAAAATGGACATGGACAAGGCTTTGTGTATTCTGCATAATGGAGAGCCAAGCTGTGGGAAAACTCCTTACCTTCCAGCTAATAAGTGCTGAGCTGCTCACTCGGGAGGAGCAAAATGTCCCCAGAGAAACCTCTGTGCTCTGGGCAGGCAGAGGCACTTCTGAGAGAAAGGCAGTGGGATTGAATGAAAGGTTTAGTTTATAAGGAAGAAAAGCTTGTGTACTCACAGGGAGCTTCATCCTGACTGCAGAGCTGATGCTCCTGCAGGTAGAAAGAGTGATGTGAACCTCCCACCTTATATATGTTTTCTGAATTAGGTGTGGAAGGGCTGAATGTTGCAATAAAATTATTTTGTCATTTGTTTCCCTGTTGCATGTCACTGAAAATTATTTCCTGCTGTAACTACTTGATAAATACAGGGATTGTACTTCTGCAAAATTTGACCTGCTGGAGTCTGATAATTATCAGATAAGGCTCCATTTGTAGTCAAAAAATGAATACGTTTTATAGTATTTTTCTGACATATACTAATTATTTCTAAAAATTCACATGGAATTTATTAACAGAGATAGCCTAGAGTTCAAATAGAAAAAAAAATTAAAATCTTCCATTAGGCAAAATAAATATGAGCCTTTGTAGTTTCCAAAAGGCACTGTATGTTCCTTGTAACCATAGCACCCACCAAAATACTTGCCAAAATACAACATGGCCACTGAAAAGTGTTTTACAAGAAATAGGCATTTAAGGCTGGAATATTACATATCTATGTTCAAGTCTGTGGAGGTCTCTTTGTTATTGTAGGTGGCAGCAGTATTTATTTTCAGCTTGCCTCAGCTTATTTTCTGTGGTGATGTAAATATTGAGGGGGTGGTCACTTAGGGAGGTTTTTGGATATTTGAGAAGTTGCTCAGTTTCCTTCTGTGAGCAGCCCCAGTCTGTGACAGGGAATCACTGTAAAGATTCCAAAATTACTTTTCAACTGCAATCCAACCAATTATCTAAAAAAAGGCTGGTTTTAATATATACAGACAAATAACTTGTAACCATTGCTGCACGTGCAGTATTAAATTAAATTCTGGCCTTGGTTTTACTGAGTAAAGTCTGCAAGTCCAAAGGGACATTTTTGATAGGTGCCACTACACCAAAGAGGGGTTTCATTCCTGGTTCTTTGTGAGCAGCAGTGTTTGTGTGGATTTCTCTGACAAAATGTGGGTTTCTGGGTGGGCTCTGTGCTCTCCCTCACCCACTTCTGGCCCTGTTGGAGAGAGGAACCGTGCAGGACCTGTGGGAGCTACGTGTTGTACATGCCTGAAGTTACCTAACAAATTCAGACTCGTGCCAGCAGCCAGAGCCCAAACCTTCCTGAAAAACAATTGGCCAATGTATGGAAAGTCACAGAAAAGAACCTTCACCTGGAGGTGAGCAAGCAATTTGTAATCTTGCTAACCTGCTGTCATGGGTTCCAGGGAAGCCTGGAAATTGGATTTTGGATTTCTAATGTGGCTCAAACTGCCACACCTGCCTTTGTTTTGGAACACAAAGGCTGTCAGCAGCAGACTGACCAGGAGCTGGGTGAGCCAGGTAAGAGGGAATTCCTCTGCACAGAGCTTGGATGTGTTTTCCATATGGCCTCAAGCTCTGGAGTCTGTTCCTCCAGATGATGAAACGATTCTCTCTGGGTGGCAGTGGGTGAGGCTGAGATCCCTGAGCATCAAAGAAACAAACCCAGAGAACAGCATTTAGGAAAACCAAGAAGGAGTTCAGAGCCTCTACACACATCTTTGGTAATGGGGAAGGGGCTTTTCATGGGGAATGCAACATTTGAGAGAACTTTGAGAGTGACTCAGCCCTGCTGAGAAGGTTCTCTTCACTTACTGGAGCCTTTTCTCAATCAACTGGCTTTTGCACCACTTTCCTCCCCCACCCTACTGTGTCTCCTTGAGGTGGTGCAGGGAACCATCTCAAGCCAAACCCTCTAACTCATTGTAACAATGATGCAGGGGTTTTAAAATCCACCTTGCAATGTAGACCTAGAAAAAAAAAGCAAAACAGTTTTTTGTTGCAAACAATTTTCAATGAATAAAAGAGAAGTGGATTGCTAAAGAGAAGCACTGGTTAAGAAAACAGGCTTTATACAAATCAAATAATAATGGACAAGGAAATACTGGTCCTTTCAGTTATATTGTTTAGGTAAATGTGTCATTGGGGCTCACAAGGGACTTTGGTGAAAGGTAAAAGGCCTCCTCCAGGTGTGTGATGTGTTTTCCTGCTTAAATATGACCCCAGTGTCAGAGTGGTTTGAGTTTTCATTGTGGTGCTCCTTGAAGTTTTTCTCGTTGTTCTGATTTTTGGAAAAGACTAAAGGAGGTAAGGATTTAGCTTTGGGGATTTCCAGGAGTGTTTCACTCAATAAAGCAATAGCTCTAGCAGCCATGCTTTGGGAAATTGTTGCTCTTGGAGACCAGATTAAAGGGGAGAGAATTTCTGGCCTCAGAGGGAGGCTGGGAAGCTGTTAGTGCTGTTGTGTCAGACCTTGCAATCCTTTATCCTGACCTGGTTTTCATGACCGTGCCAAGAGCTCCTGCATGGCAAAGGTGGCAGTGACACTGATTGTATCAGGGACATCAGTTGCCTGACAAGGCAGGGAACAAGGGATAATCAGTTATCCCCTGACAGCCTTGGAACATTAGTTACTTGAATCGTAGCCCGAGTGGAACGGAACCATTGTAACCAACTTGGGTTGTGGCCAGGGTGGAAATCTACCGGTGACTAAAGACAACCATGGCTCAGCCCTATAAACAGCAGTCCTGAGTGAGGCCTTGGAGCTGTCCTGGACTGCAGTGGGCTCCACAAGCACCTCCTCAGACTGGGAGCCTCCCGGACTTGCAAACCCTCGAGTTTGCAATCCTCAGAGGACTGTGCCTGAAGACGAGGCCTGGGCTGATTTCCCCCACTCCTCGAGGCTCAGCCCTCACCTGTTGAGGACTGCAAAGGCATTTGACCTGTTTCACTGAACTCCAGGGGAATTTTTAACAGGTACTTTTGCACACATAGATATTGATGTAGACAGCTCTGTGTGTGCATGTGGAGTGACCAGGCTATGAATGTTGCTATCTCGAATCTGTAATTCAGTCACTGTTGTAATTGCAGTAAACCCTATCAAGTCACCTTGTAAATGATAAATTAGTCAGTGATTAAATACTCTTAAACCCTTTGCACCCTCCCCTCTGCACCCCAGGATTCCGTGTGTGCCATTCTAAAGAGGTTCTAATTTGATTTTCCTTTGCATGACTCATCTGCGCAGCGAGCAACAGACGGAACCTTGACATTGAACTCTGTTAACCTGCAATTCCACAAATTCATATTAAAACCTGCTTTTGCCAACACCTTTTATGGTGATTCTTTAAGTGACCAAAACCCCTCATTCACACCCCCTGTCAGCAAGAGCTGGAACCAGGAAAACTCCAAGAAGAGAAGCAATCACAATCTGAAATGAACATTTGAAATTCACAACATTTTAACATTGTGCTGCTAATCTTGCCTCAAGTTACTTGCTGTCCTAAAATAATTTTGACTTCCTGTTTAATGTTTTGTACAGGATCAGCACTTTCTGCAGTGGAGTCTGGCTGAAGAGGATTTAAATATGCAGAAGAGTTTTTTCTTATAATGATAAATTCTTTTGTGATAACTATTGTGAACAATTATTCTCTTGGAGACAATCCCCTGAATATTGAATTGCTCCCAAATTTCATCTCCTTCACAGGAAGATTTTGATGAAAAAGATCTGAGTGGATGTGGAGTCTCTCATGTCTCATGGTTCTTCTCCTACGCTCTCAGCACAGCTGTGCCCTCACTTTATGGACCTTGCTGAGACTCTTGACTTGCCTCTGAGTTGTGAAGGAGAGAATATTGTTCTTTGGACGTTCCACGTGCGTGTGGCACCCCTGAGACAGAGCACTTCTCTCTTTCATGTTTGAGTAGGCAGATGGAGTTACATCCCTGCCAGAAGGGACATTTCACCCATGCAGTCCCCACCCCTCTGGCATTTTCTCTCTGTGATCCTGCAGAAATCACTAAGAAATCACTAAGAAGGTGCCAAGAAAAACTCAAAATCATTTAAACTGTTCAGCCTTAAGAGTTTTATGAGAAAGTGATTCATCTACTTACAGTGAACTTCATTTTGATGGTAGGCCAGGCAAGCTCTGCTGGTAATTGATGTGTACTCTTAGTTTTTATACATAATACCCCAAAGTTAAATGTGAAAATGGGTTTATCCTATTGGCAGGTGCCCTGTGTTCACAGAAGCATGACGGGGTTCCTGAGGAAGTGCTCTGATAAGAGGAGGCTTTGATAGCAGCCTGATTGAATTCATTGCGTAGAGGGAGATGAAAGAAAACTTGTCATGGTAAGTCCCGAGTATTTAATGGTAACTTTTAAATGGAAAAGAATAATGATCAGAACCAGAGACCAGATTCCCAGTGAACTTGTAATGACACTTTGTGCCTGCATGGCAAAGGACTCAGCCTGACATTGTACCTATAACCAAAATCACCATTCAAATCAGGGCAGGTGGTGATCTTGCTGTGTTAAAAACGTTGCCAGTCCTTGGAGATCATGAGGCTGGTTCTAAATCACAGAAATTCCTGAGTTCTGTTGTTGACCTTCCCTTCTGAGCTCATTCAGTCAGGATCTGCTTTCTGGTCCTCTGCTCCTGCCTGATGCCTGGCTCGGACTCCCTGAGTGACAAGGAGGTGGAGCAGTCTGGCTCTGCTTCTCATCTCTTTCACATCCCCTTTGCAGTTTGCTGGAGGTGTCAGATACGGTGAATGAAAGTAATAAACTATTGATGGTCTGTCAGGGAACGAAGAGAACATGTGTAACAGCAAGAAGGAAGGAGATTGGCAACAAACTCCTGCTTGTGTCTCTCTGCTGGGACTGCTGTGTGCTCATCCAGGTAATTCAGATGCTTTTCCCCAAGAGCTGCCTCAGGGAACTCTGCAGCCTTTCAACCCCCTACACAATGAAGCCTCTGGGGCCACTGAGAGGGGGCCAAAAACTGAGGGACTTCATATGACTGGTGTTTGTGCTAGATAGATTTGTATTCACCTGGATAACCCAGAGCATCCTGCCCTTTCTGTTAGAGAAGAGTGGGTTTTAAAATTCTGAGCAACGGGGACCTCACCTTGCTTTCCTTTAGGAGCAGAACAACTCTGTAAATCCCAGAAAGGCAAGTCTCCAGGAAAGGAGACTCCTCTTGCCCTATAAAGGCAAATTCATTGCTTTGTCCTTCTTTCTTTCTGCCTTTTGATTTTTAATGTGAGGCCCAGGGAAAGGAAGGTTGTAACTCTGAAAGTCTTGTTTGTAAGGTACACACCCTGGGACTTGCCCAGCTCTCTGGGTGTGTGCCCTGTGTTGAGAGCCCTGAAAAGAGCATTGGAAGGGCTCAAAAGGGGCCAAAGAGAGGCAATCAAAATGTATTTCTGCAGGTGTTCATAAATGAAAAATGGTAAAGACAAACAAGTTGGAGTCAATCCATGATGAAGGTCTTTAATTGAAAGCTCTGGTAACTCATTCATGTATTTTAGCATCTCCATCCTCAAGAAGGGATCTCTGGAAAGGGGAGATGCCTGGGAAGAAGGGCATCAGGGTTGGCTTTGGGCAGCAGCTCTGGATCCTCCACACTTGGTTCAAGAAACGTAAAGTTTTCAAACCATTATATTGCCACGACAATAATTCAGGTCCACAACTTTCAGGACGTCAAGTGTAGTACACGATCTGAGATTCAGTTGGGCTCCTTTACAAACAAAAAAAGAAAAAACCAAAACCATGAGATGCTGGCTTAGATATCGTTGAGTGATCTGTGCATTTGTAGACAGGCCTTAACACCTGGCACATTGCACTTGCCTTTTGAATCCCATTGAGCCCCCTCAGGTGCCAAAGCAAAGCATGCAGGGAGTACAGAGAAATGCTGCCATGCAGAGCTGAGCCTGAGCTGTAAAGCAGCTGTCCATGACAGGTTTGGAGACAATCAGCTTGAAGGAAGGCTCAGAATACTTTGATGGTGCTTCAGGATTATCACAGTAAAACTTAGTTCACTTGGATATATTTAAAACAATTTTTTTTCCCATTAATACAAAATACCATTGCAAGAGATCAAAATACAATTAAGGCACCCACAGCAACTCAGCTCATTTATACCAGTCTATACCAGCTACAACGATAGCTGCCATTCTACAGGGGGGTATTTTTGTTCCCTGGTTTCTGTCAATCTTGAGTTGGAAGAGGAGCCTTTGTGCTGTAGTCATTCCCCAAAGGAATGAAATGCCAGGCCAATGGGAGACAGAATTGATTTGCTTGCACTCACCATGAACTTCATAGGTCATGTAGGTGGTGAGTCCGCTGCACATGGTCATGATGTCTGCTCCATAAGAGTTGAGGTTGCTGACCAATCCCTTGGCCACAAAGGTGAGCTTCCTTGTAGGTCTTCCAAGACCGACCTGGTTCTAGACACCAAAAGAGAGCATTCAGCAAGATCAGTGGCGTGATGTGTTTCATGGCGGGCATATGGCGAGTTGTGCAGTGACGAGCCGGTGCTTGGGCTGTGAGTGCCCCTGCCTTTAGTGGTGCCTTTGCCATGGCACAGAGCTCTCTCCCACCCCAAAGGAAAAGGGAGTCTGGACAATGGCAGCTGCAAGGCAAAGGTCTGAGCTGACAAATGCAGGGTGGTATTGCAGGGCCTCGGAAGGCCTTGGAAGGATTGCCGTGCCCAAAGAATTGGTACCCTTGCAGGATTCCTGAGAGAAAGGGTTTCTCAGCAAGCTGCAGAGCTCAGCTTCCTCAGAGAAAGCGCAGTTGGGAGAGGGAATGAGGGCCCCCCCGGCCCCCTTTTCTTTGGACAAACCATCCCCTGGGCAAATTGCCAAGCCGCACTGCTGTGGAGGGCAAGACAGTCCTGCCACGTGGGACAAGCTGCTCCTCTCCAGCAGCAAAAAGCACAGTTAAGAAACAGCCCCATGGAGTTCAGTGGAAAGACACACTGGGCAGGGATGGCTGGGATTGTTAAAGGCTTTCAAAATATGCGCAATATGGTCACAGTGCCTCTGCCCATTGCACTCTGCTTCCTTCTCACTGTCAAGGAAGGAGTTGAAATGAGCTTCAAGGTCTCTGACGTAAACCTTAGGACAAGCAAGCCTGGAATTACAGCTAAAGCTGCATCTTTTTGCTTATGCTTTTACTGGGGTCCTTCTCCTGTTTATCTTAACCTGCCACAGTTTTCTTGCCCTTTAAAGCCTGGATTTTTTTTAAGGACTCACTTCTCAGTCTTCAAGGAAAGCCAGTGTCTACCAACAGTGAGTCTGCTGAATGCTGAGATTTTAAAATACCAACTCAGTGGGCTGAACTAAGGCTAATATGGTGTAAGGTTCTTTTGAAAAAGATTGAAAGCTTATTTAAACTTATTTAAACTCTCCATGCTTCAAGATTTGTCATTCCTGAATTAGACCTAGTGGAGAAAATATAGTTTTTGCACTGCAAATGAGAGACTCTGAAAAGCAAATGTATTTCAGTCAAGAATGTAAAATCTTGGATTATATGACAGTATAACAAAGGTTGAATTTAAACACCCATTTAAAGCATTGTAAAAGTAATCTACATAACCTGCAACTTTGAACAAACATTATTAACCTGCACTACAGGCATTTGAACATGGATAACACTGTAAATTTTAAAAGATTTCAAATTATGTACCTGCAAAACATCACTAAAGTGAAAATAAATAGCTTTTAATATACACAATCATTAATAAGTTTTTGAAAATACCAATGACGCAGACAAAAAAATGAATATTAATTACTCTACAACATCTGAGGCAAATTCTGCTTTTAATCTTACCCTGTTCTCTGCAGCCAGTTTGAGCAGGGCGTCAAAGCTGGGCATCTCCTTCTGGTTCAAGACGGAAATGTAGCAAGTTCTCTCTTGCATCACTTTGGTTGCAATGACGCCCTGGAAAGAGAAAGTTATTGAGCACTCACAGTTCACTTTTCCAACTGGGAAAATCTGGGATAAAGTCTGGATTAAAACCAGGAAGGAATACCAATACTTCCTACCCCAGATCCTGGACTCAGAAGCTCAACAAGAAAGCAAGAAGCCCCGTGCCTTGGTCAGCTGGAGCGGGAGGCAGCCTCCTCGCACAGTGCCCGGCAAAGCGCGCTCCCTGCCACTCACCGTGTTGTAGTTCCAGATGGTTTTCCAAGACAAATCGTTGCTTCTTTGCTCAAAAACTGCCACACGTGTTTGACTACTGATGGTCATATTTTGGAAGACTCCCCCAACAGAGATCTGGCAGTTGTCATCACTCTGCTGAGACTAAAACAACAAATAATGGAACACATTTGGATTTTGAAGTGAATCAGTGAACTCCCCAAATCCCTGGTAGAACAGAAGAAGTGCTGCCCGCAGGGAGTGGCAGCAGTGAGCTCAGGATTTTGCCAAGGACAAAGGCTCAAGGCTGTGGCAAAGTTGGGCAGTAACCATAAGAATTCTTTGCCTGCCTTCCCCGAATCATTGCTGCATCTTACAGCTGCCGTGTGGTGCTTTTAGAGTGTGAGGCGTGCAAGAGAAGTAGCCAGAAGGAATGCAGGCTCAAGGTCTTGAAGGGAAAGCTCTGGTCACCCTCAATGTGTTTCAGCCCCTCCATCCCCAAGAAGGAAGTTCTCCAAAGAGGAGATGCCGGGCCAGAAAGACATGGGACTTGGCTTTGGGCAACCCCTGCCCTCGGTTGGAGAAGAGTGACGGTTTCAGACCTGGTCAATGTTGCCATTGTTGTTGCAGTACTTCAGGTCCACAACTCTCAGGACATTGAGGGTGACGCATGGTCCCCGGTTGACTTGGGTTCCTGGAAAAGCAAGACAAGAAAAACCTGACCCTGGGCAGTGCAGGGGCAGGCTGGTGCCAGTTGCTGGGCCCTGTCAGGCCGTGAGCTTGTGAGAGGAGCCTGCCGAGTGCAGGTCCTGAAAGTCATGGGCAATGCCATCCTCGGCCCGGGAACAACCGGCAGGGAAGGAAGCCACTTGGCCTGGTGCTGTGAAGCACACACAAGTGTTTGGTGGCTTGCTGGGTGAACTCCTGAGCAAGGTGCGAAGGGAAGGACAGGGCATCTTGGGACAAGCCTTTGTCTTTGCCCAGGCGTTGCAGAGGAGGTCAAGGTGGGCCAAAAGTCGGGGCCCAAACTGAAGCCACATGAAGCTTGACGGATGGGAGGTGGAAGGGTTTGGAGCAGGTCAGTTCTGCAGGCTGGGACTCAAGCCTGGTGCAGTGCTGATCTGCAGAGATGCCGAAGGCTTTCTGCCTAAGCTGAAGCTCTTGCTTTCTGTCCGTCTTGAGTTGGAAGAGGACCACTGGTGCAGTAGTCATTCCCCAAGGGGAAAAAAGTGCCAGGTGAGAGAGAGACAGAATTGATTTGCTTGCACTCACCGTGAACTTCATAAGCTCTGTAGACGGTGAGTCCGCTGCACATGGCCGTGATGTTTGCTCCGTAGGAGTTGAGGTTGTTGACCAATCCACTGGCCACAAAGGTGAGCTTCCTTGTAACTCTTCCAAGACCGACCTGGTTCTAGACACCAAAAGAGAGCATTCAGCAAGATCAGTGGCGTGATGCGTTTCATGGCGGGCATATGGCGAGTTGTGCAGTGACGAGCCGGTGCTTGGGTTGTGACTGCCCCTGCCTTTAGCGGTGCCTTTGCCATGGCACAGAGCTCTCTCCCACCCCAAAGGAAAAAGGGAGTCTGGACAATGGCAGCTGCAAGGCAAAGGTCTGAGCTGACAAATGCGGGGTGGTATTGCAGGGCCTCGGAAGGCCTTGGAAGGATTGCCGTGCCCAAAGAATTGGTGCCCTTGCAGGATTCCTGAGAGAAAGGGTTTCTCAGCAAGCTGCAGAGCTCAGCTTCCTCAGAGAAAGCGCAGCTGGCAGAGGGAATGAGGACCCCCCCGTCCCCCTTTTCTTTGGACAAACCATCCCCTGGGCAAATTGCCAAGCCGCACTGCTGTGGAGGGCAAGACAGTCCTGCCACGTGGGACAAGCTGCTCCTCTCCAGCAGCAAAAAGCACAGTTAAGAAACGGCCCCATGGACTCCAAGGCCAAGAAACTGCTGCTCCTTTGCACTCTTACCCTGCTCTCTCTGGCCAGTCTGGCCAGATTGTCAAAGCTGGGCATCTCGCTTTTGTTCATGACGGAAATGTAGCAGGCGTTCTGTTGCGGGACTTTGGTTGCAATGACGCCCTGGAAAGAGAAAGTTATTGAGCACTGGCCGTTCAGTTTTGCAACTGGGAAAATCTGGGATAAAGTCTGGATTAAAACCAGGAAGGAATACCAATACTTCCTACCCCACATCCTGGACTCAGAAGCTCAACAAGAAAGCAAGAAGCCCCGTGCCTTGGTCAGCTGGAGCGGGAGGCAGCCTCCTCGCACAGTGCCCGGCAAAGCGCGCTCCCTGCCACTCACCGTGTTGTAGTTCCAGATGGTTTTCCAGGAGCCACTGACGGTCGTTTGCTGGATAACTGCCACGCGCCATTGCTTGTGGAGGGTGACAATTTGGGACTGGCCAGCAATGATGACTTCCTGGCTGCCATCCTGACCAGGACCCTGATCCTGATCCTGACCCTGGGGAGGTTAAAACACCAAGGACAGAACATCTTCAGCCTTTGAACGGAGTCAGTGATCTCACCCCCAAATCCCTGGTAGAACAGAAGAAGTGCTGCCCGCAGGGAGCGCCAGCAGTGAGCTCAGGATTTTGCCAAGGACAAAGGCTCAAGGCTGTGGCAATGTTGGGCAGTAGCCATAAGAATTCTTTGCCTGCCTTCCCCGAATCATTGCTGCATCTTACAGCTGCCGTGTGGTGCTTTTAGAGTGTGAGGCGTGCAAGAGAAGTAGCCAGAAGGAATGCAGGCTCAAGGTCTTGAAGGGAAAGCTCTGGTCACCCTCGATGTGTTTCAGCCTCTCCATCCCCAAGAAGGAAGCTCTCCAAAGAGGAGATGCCGGGCCAGAAAGACGTGGGGCTTGGCTTTGGGCAGCCCCCGCCCTCGGTTGGAGAAGAGTGACGGTTTCAGACCTGGTCAATGTTGCCATTGTTGTTGCAGTACTTCAGGTCCACAACTTTCAGGACATTGAGGGTGACGCATGGTCCCCGGTTGACTTGGGTTCCTGGAAAAGCAAGACAAGAAAAATCTGACCCTGGGCAGTGCAGGGGCAGGCTGGTGCCAGTTGCTGGGCCCTGTCAGGTCGTGAGCTTGTGAGAGGAGCCTGCCGAGTGCAGGTCCTGAAAGTCATGGGCAATGCCATCCTTGGCCCGGGAACAACCGGCAGGGAAGGAAGCCACTTGGCCTGGTGCTGTGAAGCACACACAAGTGTTTGGTGGCTTGCTGGGTGAACTCCTGAGCAAGGTGCGAAGGGAAGGACAGGGCATCTTGTCTTTGTCTTTGCCCGGGCGTTGCAGAGGAGGTCAAGGTGGGCCAAAAGTCTGGGCCCAAACTGAAGCCACATGAAACTTGACGGATGGGAGGTGGAAGGGTTTGGAGCAGGTCAGTTCTGCAGGCTGGGACTCAAGCCTGGTGCAGTGCTGATTTGCAGAGATGCCGAAGGCTTTCTACCCAAGCTGAAGCTCTTGCTTTCTGTCCGTCTTGAGTTGGAAGAGGACCACTGGTGCAGTAGTCATTCCCCAAGGGGAAAAAAGTGCCAGGTGAGAGAGAGACAGAATTGATTTGCTTGCACTCACCGTGAACTTCATAAGCTTTGTAGGTGGTGAGTCCGCTGCACATGGCCATGATGTTTGCTCCGTAGGAGTTGAGGTTGTTGACCAATCCACTGGTGACAAAGGTGAGCTTCCTTGTAACTCTTCCAAGACTGACCTGGTTCTGGACACCAAAAGACAGCATTCAGCAAGATCAGTGGCGTGATGCGTTTCATGGCGGGCATATGGCGAGTTGTGCAGTGACGAGCCGGAGCTTGGGCTGTGACTGCCCCTGCCTTTAGTGGTGCCTTTGCCATGGCACAGAGCTCTCTCCCACCCCAAAGGAAAAGGGAGTCTGGACAAGGGCAGCTGCAAGGCAAAGGTGTGAGCTGACAAATGCAGGGTGGTATTGCAGGGCCTCGGAAGGCCTTGGAAGGATTGCCATGCCCAAAGAATTGGTGCCCTTGCAGGATTCCTGAGAGAAAGGGTTTCTCAGCAAGCTGCAGAGCTCAGCTTCCTCAGAGAAAGCGCAGTTGGGAGAGGGAATGAGGGCCCCCCCGTCCCCCTTTTCTTTGGACAAACCATCCCCTGGGCAAATTGCCAAGCCGCACTGCTGTGGAGGGCAAGACAGTCCTGCCACGTGGGACAAGCTGCTCCTCTCCAGCAGCAAGAAGCACAGTTAAGAAAGGGCCCAGTGGACTCCAAGGGCAAGAAACTGCTGCTCCTTTGCACTCTTACCCTGCTCTGTCTGGCAAGTGTGGCCAGATTGTCAAAGCTGGGCATCTCGGTTCTGTTCATGACGGAAATGTAGCAGGCGTTCTGTTGCGGGGCTTTGGTTGCAAATGACGCCTGGAAGGGAAAGTTATGCGCATGCCCGTTCCGTTTGCAATGGGACGATTCGGGAAAAGTTGGATTAAAACCAGGAAGGAATACCAATACTTCCTACCCCACATCCTGGACTCAGAAGCTCAACAAGAAAGCAAGAAGCCCCGTGCCTTGGTCAGCTGGAGCGGGAGGCAGCCTCCTCGCACAGTGCCCGGCAAAGCGCGCTCCCTGCTACTCACCGTGTTGTAGTTCCAGATGGTTTTCCAGGAGCCACTGACGGTCGTTTGCTGGATAACTGCCACGCGCCATTGCTTGTGGAGGGTGACAATTTGGGACTGGCCAGCAATGATGACTTCCTGGCTGCCATCCTGACCAGGACCCTGATCCTGATCCTGACCCTGGGGAGGTTAAAACACCAAGGACAGAACATCTTCAGTCTTTGAACGGAGTCAGTGATCTCACCCCCAAATCCCTGGTAGAACAGAAGAAGTGCTGCCCGCAGGGAGTGGCAGCAGTGAGCTCAGGATTTTGCCAAGGACAAAGGCTCAAGGCTGTGGCAAAGTTGGGCAGTAACCATAAGAATTCTTTGCCTGCCTTCCCCGAATCATTGCTGCATCTTACAGCTGCCGTGTGGTGCTTTTAGAGTGTGAGGCGTGCAAGAGAAGTAGCCAGAAGGAATGCAGGCTCAAGGTCTTGAAGGGAAAGCTCTGGTCACCCTCGATGTGTTTCAGCCTCTCCATCCCCAAGAAGGAAGCTCTCCAAAGAGGAGATGCCGGGCCAGAAAGACATGGGGCTTGGCTTTGGGCAGCCCCCGCCCTCGGTTGGAGAAGAGTGACGGTTTCAGACCTGGTCAATGTTGCCATTGTTGTTGCAGTACTTCAGGTCCACAACTTTCAGGACATTGAGGGTGACGCATGGTCCCCGGTTGACTTGGGTTCCTGGAAAAGCAAGACAAGAAAAATGCAAAGCCCATGAGGTGAGGCCTGCGACCTTGGCTGCCGCTCTCCAAGAGGGGGTGGTTGTTGCCGGGAGCGAGCGAGGTCGTGAGTCCTTGGCTGCAGGAGCAGTGTTGGAGACGTGCGAGGGGAAGATTCCTTTGGAGTGCCCAAAGAGCACGGGCTGTGTGGCTGAGGAAGGAATGGCCCCAGAGACGGGCTCTTGCCCACGCTGGGGCTGTTGCCGTGCAGCCCTCGGGGCACTGTTCCACTGGCTGCTGGGAGTGCAGGGGGCTGGGCAGTGCAGGGGCAGGCTGGTGCCAGTTGCTGGGCCCTGTCAGGCCGTGAGCTTGTGAGAGGAGCCTGCCGAGTGCAGGTCCTGAAAGTCATGGGCAATGCCATCCTCGGCCCGGGAACAACCGGCAGGGAAGGAAGCCACTTGGCCTGGTGCTGTGAAGCACACAAGTGTTTGGTGGCTTGCTGGGTGAACTCCTGAGCAAGGTGCGAAGGGAAGGACAGGGCATCTTGGGACGAGCCTTTGTCTTTGCCCGGGCGTTGCAGAGGTGGTCAAGGAGGGCCAGAAGTCGGGGCCCAAACTGAAGCCACATGAAGCTTGACGGATGGGAGGTGGAAGGGTTTGGAGCAGGTCAGTTCTGCAGGCTGGGACTCAAGCCTGGTGCAGTGCTGATCTGCAGAGATGCCGAAGGCTTTCTGCCTAACCTGACGCTCTTGCTTTCTGTCCGTCTTGAGTTGGAAGAGGACCACTGGTGCAGTAGTCATTCCCCAAGGGGAAAAAAGTGCCAGGTGAGAGAGAGACAGAATTGATTTGCTTGCACTCACCGTGAACTTCATAAGCTTTGTAGTTGGATAGTCCGCTGCACATAGAGAAGATGTCTGATCCATAAGACTTGAGGTTGCTGTCCAATCCCTTGACCACAAAGGTGAGCTTCCTTGTAACTCTTCCAAGACCGACCTGGTTCTAGACACCAAAAGAGAGCATTCAGCAAGATCAGTGGCGTGATGCGTTTCATGGCGGGCATATGGCGAGTTGTGCAGTGACGAGCCGGTGCTTGGGCTGTGACTGCCCCCTGCCTTTAGTGGTGCCTTTGCCATGGCACAGAGCTCTCTCCCGCCCCAAAGGAAAAGGGAGTCTGGACAATGGCAGCTGCAAGGCAAAGGTCTGAGCTGACAAATGCAGGGTGGTATTGCAGGGCCTCGGAAGGCCTTGGAAGGATTGCCGTGCCCAAAGAATTGGTACCCTTGCAGGATTCCTGAGAGAAAGGGTTTCTCAGCAAGCTGCAGAGCTCAGCTTCCTCAGAGAAAGCGCAGTTGGGAGAGGGAATAAGGACCCCCCCGTCCCCCTTTTCTTTGGACAAACCATCCCCTGGGCAAATTGCCAAGCCGCACTGCTGTGGAGGGCAAGACAGTCCTGCCACGTGGGACAAGCTGCTCCTCTCCAGCAGCAAAAAGCACAGTTAAGAAACGGCCCCATGGACTCCAAGGCCAGGAAACTGCTGCTCCTTTGCACTCTTACCCTGCTCTCTCTGGCCAGTCTGGCCAGATTGCCAAAGCTGGGCATCTTGCTTTTGTTCATGATGGAAATGTAGCAGGCGTTCTGTTGCGGGACTTTGGTTGCAATGACGCCCTGGAAAGGGAAAGTTATTGAGCACTGACCGTTCAGTTTTGCAACTGGGAAGATCTGGGATAAAGTCTGGATTAAAACCAGGAAGGAATACCAATACTTCCTACCCCACATCCTGGACTCAGAAGCTCAACAAGAAAGCAAGAAGCCCCGTGCCTTGGTCAGCTGGAGCGGGAGGCAGCCTCCTCGCACAGTGCCCGGCAAAGCGCGCTCCCTGCCACTCACCGTGTTGTAGTTCCAGATGGTTTTCCAGGAGCCACTGACGGTCGTTTGCTGGATAACTGCCACGCGCCATTGCTTGTGGAGGGTGACAATTTGGGACTGGCCAGCAATGATGACTTCCTGGCTGCCATCCTGACCAGGACCCTGATCCTGATCCTGACCCTGGGGAGGTTAAAACACCAAGGACAGAACATCTTCAGCCTTTGAACGGAGTCGGTGATCTCACCCCCAAATCCCTGGTAGAACAGAAGAAGTGCTGCCCGCAGGGAGCGCCAGCAGTGAGCTCAGGATTTTGCCAAGGACAAAGGCTCAAGGCTGTGGCAAAGTTGGGCAGTAGCCATAAGAATTCTTTGCCTGCCTTCCCCGAATCATTGCTGCATCTTACAGCTGCCGTGTGGTGCCTTTAGAGTGTGAGGCGTGCAAGAGAAGTAGCCAGAAGGAATGCAGGCTCAAGGTCTTGAAGGGAAAGCTCTGGTCACCCCCTGCTGTGTTTCAGCCTCTGCGTCCCCAAGAAAGAAGCTCTCCAAAGAGGAGATGCCGGACCAGAAGGACGTGGGGCTTGGCTTTGGGCAGCCCCCGCCCTCGGGTGGAGAAGATAAGGGTTTCAGACCTGGTCAATGTTGCCATTGTTGTTGCAGTACTTCAGGTCCACAACTTTCAGGACATTGAGGGTGACGCATGGTCCCTGGTTGACTTGGAGTCCTGGAAAAGCAAGACAAGAAAAATGCAAAGCCCATGAGGTGAGGCCTGCGACCTCTGCTGCCGCTCTGCAAGAGGGGGTGGTTGTTGCCTGGAGCGAGCGAGGTCGTGAGTCCTTGGCTGCAGGAGGAGTGTTGGAGACGTGCGAGGGGAAGATTCCTCTGGAGTGCCCAAAGAGCACGGGCTGTGTGGCTGAGGAAGGAACGGCCCCAGAGACGGGCTCTTGCCCACGCTGGGGCTGTTGCCGTGCAGCCCTCGGGGCACTGTTCCACTGGCTGCTGGGAGTGCAGGGGGCTGGGCAGTGCAGGGGCAGGCTGGTGCCAGTTGCTGGGCCCTGTCAGGCCGTGAGCTTGTGAGAGGAGCCTGCCGAGTGCAGGTCCTGAAAGTCATGGGCAATGCCATCCTCGGCCCGGGAACAACCGGCAGGGAAGGAAGCCACTTGGCCTGGTGCTGTGAAGCACACAAGTGTTTGGTGGCTTGCTGGGTGAACTCCTGAGCAAGGTGCGAAGGGAAGGACAGGGCATCTTGGGACGAGCCTTTGTCTTTGCCCGGGCGTTGCAGAGGTGGTCAAGGAGGGCCAGAAGTCGGGGCCCAAACTGAAGCCACATGAAGCTTGACGGATGGGAGGTGGAAGGGTTTGGAGCAGGTCAGTTCTGCAGGCTGGGACTCAAGCCTGGTGCAGTGCTGATCTGCAGAGATGCCGAAGGCTTTCTGCCTAAGCTGAAGCTCTTGCTTTCTGTCCGTCTTGAGTTGGAAGAGGACCACTGGTGCAGTAGTCATTCCCCAAGGGGAAAAAAGTGCCAGGTGAGAGAGAGACAGAATTGATTTGCTTGCACTCACCGTGAACTTCATAAGCTCTGTAGACGGTGAGTCCGCTGCACATGGCCGTGATGTTTGCTCCGTAGGAGTTGAGGTTGTTGACCAATCCACTGGTGACAAAGGTGAGCTTCCTTGTAACTCTTCCAAGACTGACCTGGTTCTAGACACCAAAAGAGAGCATTCAGCAAGATCAGTGGCGTGATGCGTTTCATGGCGGGCATATGGCGAGTTGTGCAGTGACGAGCCGGTGCTTGGGCTGTGACTGCCCCTGCCTTTAGTGGTGCCTTTGCCATGGCACAGAGCTCTCTCCCACCCCAAAGGAAAAGGGAGTCTGGACAAGGGCAGCTGCAAGGCAAAGGTCTGAGCTGACAAATGCAGGGTGGTATTGCAGGGCCTCGGAAGGCCTTGGAAGGATTGCCCTGCCCAAAGAATTGGTGCCCTTGCAGGATTCCTGAGAGAAAGGGTTTCTCAGCAAGCTGCAGAGCTCAGCTTCCTCAGAGAAAGCGCAGCTGGCAGAGGGAATGAGGACCCCCCCGGCCCCCTTTTCTTTGGACAAACCATCCCCTGGGCAAATTGCCGAGCCGCACTGCTGTGGAGGGCAAGACAGTCCTGCCACGTGGGACAAGCTGCTCCTCTCCAGCAGCAAAAAGCACAGTTAAGAAACGGCCCCATGGACTCCAAGGCCAAGAAACTGCTGCTCCTTTGCACTCTTACCCTGCTCTCTCTGGCCAGTCTGGCCAGATTGTCAAAGCTGGGCATCTCGCTTTTGTTCATGACGGAAATGTAGCAGGCGTTCTGTTGCGGGACTTTGGTTGCAATGACGCCCTGGAAAGAGAAAGTTATTGAGCACTGGCCGTTCAGTTTTGCAACTGGGAAAATCTGGGATAAAGTCTGGATTAAAACCAGGAAGGAATACCAATACTTCCTACCCCACATCCTGGACTCAGAAGCTCAACAAGAAAGCAAGAAGCCCCGTGCCTTGGTCAGCTGGAGCGGGAGGCAGCCTCCTCGCACAGTGCCCGGCAAAGCGCGCTCCCTGCCACTCACCGTGTTGTAGTTCCAGATGGTTTTCCAGGAGCCACTGACGGTCGTTTGCTGGATAACTGCCACGCGCCATTGCTTGTGGAGGGTGACAATTTGGGACTGGCCAGCAATGATGACTTCCTGGCTGCCATCCTGACCAGGACCCTGATCCTGATCCTGACCCTGGGGAGGTTAAAACACCAAGGACAGAACATCTTCAGCCTTTGAACGGAGTCAGTGATCTCACCCCCAAATCCCTGGTAGAACAGAAGAAGTGCTGCCCGCAGGGAGCACCAGCAGTGAGCTCAGGATTTTGCCAAGGACAAAGGCTCAAGGCTGTGGCAAAGTTGGGCAGTAGCCATAAGAATTCTTTGCCTGCCTTCCCCGAATCATTGCTGCATCTTACAGCTGCCGTGTGGTGCCTTTAGAGTGTGAGGCGTGCAAGAGAAGTAGCCAGAAGGAATGCAGGCTCAAGGTCTTGAAGGGAAAGCTCTGGTCACCCTCGATGTGTTTCAGCCTCTCCATCCCCAAGAAGGAAGCTCTCCAAAGAGGAGATGCCGGGCCAGAAAGACATGGGGCTTGGCTTTGGGCAGCCCCCGCCCTCGGTTGGAGAAGAGTGACGGTTTCAGACCTGGTCAATGTTGCCATTGTTGTTGCAGTACTTCAGGTCCACAACTTTCAGGACATTGAGGGTGACGCATGGTCCCCGGTTGACTTGGGTTCCTGGAAAAGCAAGACAAGAAAAATGCAAAGCCCATGAGGTGAGGCCTGCGACCTTGGCTGCCGCTCTGCAAGAGGGGGTGGTTGTTGCCGGGAGCGAGCGAGGTCGTGAGTCCTTGGCTGCAGGAGCAGTGTTGGAGACGTGCGAGGGGAAGATTCCTTTGGAGTGCCCAAAGAGCACGGGCTGTGTGGCTGAGGAAGGAACGGCCCCAGAGACGGGCTCTTGCCCACGCTGGGGCTGTTGCCGTGCAGCCCTCGGGGCACTGATCCACTGGCTTGCTTGCACTCACCGTGAACTTCATGCAGGGGTAGCTGGTGCCAGTTGCTGGGCCCTGTCCGTGAGAGTTGAGGTTGTTGACCAATCCCTGCCACAAGGTGAGCTTGTCCAAGACCGGCTGGTTCTCCATTCAGAAGACAACATGGCGGGCATATGGCGAGTTGTGCAGTGACGAGCCGGTGCTTGGGCTGTGACTGCCCCCTGCCTTTAGTGGTGCCTTTGAATGGCCTGGGGCCCATGGGAGCAGTAGTGTGCCTTGAAGACAGTTCCTAAGGCAGCCCTTTGTAAGGCAGTCAAGGTGCAGGGAGCCTAAGGAGAAGGGGCAGCGCAGGGCAAGCGCGGAGGCGGAGCGGAGGAGCGCAGCCGGTGTGTTAAGGCAACGTTCGAGCAAATCATTTGCTCAGTCGCTGCCCTGGCCCCTCAGAGCTCCTCAGGTTGGAGGCTGGAAGCCTGGCAGGAGAAGTCTCTTCCTGCAGCCACCTCAAAGGGAAGCAAAGAGGGCAGCAGCAAGAGGGCGCAGGTCCTTTTTCCACTGGGACTCTTTGCAAGTGCTGCTTAGGACCTGTCTGAGAAGTGTGGGGGTTGGAGTGGGACAGGTCTTTCGGAAGGGCTCCAGAGTGCTTTGTTTCCCATGAACTTCACTCTGTCTCCTACTGGGGGCCTTTGTCACCTGCACCAAGCCCGGGATGCCTGTCTTTCCTCCTATGAGCTCGGCTTCCCGCTGCTCTCTAGCTCCTTCCTCAGCTACGGCCACGGGCCTGCAGTTGTGGCTCATGCCACTGGTGTGGGGGAAAGGCTGGGCACCAGGGAGACGCTCTCTCCCACCCCAAAGGAAAAAGGGAGTCTGGACAATGGCAGCTGCAAGGCAAAGGTCTGAGCTGACAAATGCGGGGTGGTATTGCAGGGCCTCGGAAGGCCTTGGAAGGATTGCCGTGCCCAAAGAATTGGTGCCCTTGCAGGATTCCTGAGAGAAAGGGTTTCTCAGCAAGCTGCAGAGCTCAGCTTCCTCAGAGAAAGCGCAGTTGGGAGAGGGAATGAGGGCCCCCCTGTCCCCCTTTTCTTTGGACAAACCATCCCCTGGGCAAATTGCCAAGCCGCACTGCTGTGGAGGGCAAGACAGTCCTGCCACGTGGGACAAGCTGCTCCTCTCCAGCAGCAAAAAGCACAGTTAAGAAAGGGCCCAGTGGACTCCAAGGGCAAGAAACTGCTGCTCCTTTGCACTCTTACCCTGCTCTGTCTGGCGAGTGTGGCCAGATTGTCAAAGCTGGGCATCTCGGTTCTGTTCATGACGGAAATGTAGCAGGCGTTCTGTTGCGGGACTTTGGTTGCAATGACGCCCTGGAAAGAGAAAGTTATTGAGCACTGGCCGTTCAGTTTTGCAACTGGGAAAATCTGGGATAAAGTCTGGATTAAAACCAGGAAGGAATACCAATACTTCCTACCCCACATCCTGGACTCAGAAGCTCAACAAGAAAGCAAGAAGCCCCGTGCCTTGGTCAGCTGGAGCGGGAGGCAGCCTCCTCGCACAGTGCCCGGCAAAGCGCGCTCCCTGCCACTCACCGTGTTGTAGTTCCAGATGGTTTTCCAGGAGCCACTGACGGTCGTTTGCTGGATAACTGCCACGCGCCATGTCTTGTGGAGGGTGACAATTTGGGACTGGCCAGCAATGATGACTTCCTGGTTGTCATCCTGAGTCTGATCCTGACCCTGATCCTGACCCTGGGGAGGTTAAAACACCAAGGACAGAACATCTTCAGCCTTTGAACGGAGTCGGTGATCTCGCCCCCAAATCCCTGGTAGAACAGAAGAAGTGCTGCCCGCAGGGAGTGGCAGCAGTGAGCTGAGGATTTTGCCAAGGACAAGGGATCAAGGCTGTGGCAAAGTTGGGCAGTAGCCATAAGAATTCTTTGCCTGCCTTCCCCGAATCATTGCTGCATCTTACAGCTGCCGTGTGGTGCCTTTAGAGTGTGAGGCGTGCAAGAGAAGTAGCCAGAAGGAATGCAGGCTCAAGGTCTTGAAGGGAAAGCTCTGGTCACCCTCGATGTGTTTCAGCCTCTGCGTCCCCAAGAAGGAAGCTCTCCAAAGAGGAGATGCCGGACCAGAAGGACGTGGGGCTTGGCTTTGGGCAGCCCCCGCCCTCGGGTGGAGAAGAGTAAGGGTTTCAGACCTGGTCAATGTTGCCATTGTTGTTGCAGTACTTCAGGTCCACAACTTTCAGGACATTGAGGGTGACGCATGGTCCCCGGTTGACTTGGGTTCCTGGAAAAGCAAGACAAGAAAAATGCAAAGCCCATGAGGTGAGGCCTGCGACCTTGGCTGCCGCTCTGCAAGAGGGGGTGGTTGTTGCCGGGAGCGAGCGAGGTCGTGAGTCCTTGGCTGCAGGAGGAGTGTTGGAGACGTGCGAGGGGAAGATTCCTCTGGAGTGCCCAAAGAGCACGGGCTGTGTGGCTGAGGAAGGAACGGCCCCAGAGACGGGCTCTTGCCCACGCTGGGGCTGTTGCCGTGCAGCCCTCGGGGCACTGTTCCACTGGCTGCTGGGAGTGCAGGGGGCTGGGCAGTGCAGGGGCAGGCTGGTGCCAGTTGCTGGGCCCTGTCAGGCCGTGAGCTTGTGAGAGGAGCCTGCCGAGTGCAGGTCCTGAAAGTCATGGGCAATGCCATCCTCGGCCCGGGAACAACCGGCAGGGAAGGAAGCCACTTGGCCTGGTGCTGTGAAGCACACACAAGTGTTTGGTGGCTTGCTGGGTGAACTCCTGAGCAAGGTGCGAAGGGAAGGACAGGGCATCTTGTCTTTGTCTTTGCCCGGGCGTTGCAGAGGAGGTCAAGGTGGGCCAAAAGTCGGGGCCCAAACTGAAGCCACATGAAGCTTGACGGATGGGAGGTGGAAGGGTTTGGAGCAGGTCAGTTCTGCAGGCTGGGACTCAAGCCTGGTGCAGTGCTGATCTGCAGAGATGCCGAAGGCTTTCTGCCTAAGCTGAAGCTCTTGCTTTCTGTCCGTCTTGAGTTGGAAGAGGACCACTGGTGCAGTAGTCATTCCCCAAGGGGAAAAAAGTGCCAGGTGAGAGAGAGACAGAATTGATTTGCTTGCACTCACCGTGAACTTCATAAGCTCTGTAGATGGTGAGTCCGCTGCACATGGTCGTGATGTCTTGTCCGTAGAAGTTGAGGTTGTTGACCAATCCACTGGCCACAAAGGTGAGCTTCCTTGTAACTCTTCCAAGACTGACCTGGTTCTGGACACCAAAAGAGAGCATTCAGCAAGATCAGTGGCGTGATGCGTTTCATGGCGGGCATATGGCGAGTTGTGCAGTGACGAGCCGGTGCTTGGGCTGTGACTGCCCCCTGCCTTTAGTGGTGCCTTTGAATGGCCTGGGGCCCATGGGAGCAGTAGTGTGCCTTGAAGACAGTTCCTAAGGCAGCCCTTTGTAAGGCAGTCAAGGTGCAGGGAGCCTAAGGAGAAGGGGCAGCGCAGGGCAAGCGCGGAGCCGGAGCGGAGGAGCGCAGCCGGTGTGTTAAGGCAGACGTTCGAGCAAATCATTTGCTCAGTCGCTGCCCTGGCCCCTCAGAGCTCCTCAGGTTGGAGGCTGGAAGCCTGGCAGGAGAAGTCTCTTCCTGCAGCCACCTCAAAGGGAAGCAAAGAGGGCAGCAGCAAGAGCGCGCAGGTCCTTTTTCCACTGGGACTCTTTGCAAGTGCTGCTTAGGACCTGTCTGAGAAGTGTGGGGGTTGGAGCGGGACAGGTCTTTCGGAAGGGCTCCAGAGTGCTTTGTTTCCCATGAACTTCCACTCTGGTCTCCTACTGGGGGCCTTTGTCACCTGCACCAAGCCCCGGGATGCCTGTCTTTCCTCCTATGAGCTCGGCTTCCCGCTGCTCTCTAACTCCTTCCTCAGCTACGGCCACGGGCCTGCAGTTGCGGCTCATGCCACTGGTGTGGGGGAAAGGCTGGGCACCACGGAGACGCTCTCTCCCACCCCAAAGGAAAAGAGAGTCTGGACAAGGGCAGCTGCAAGGCAAAGGTGTGAGCTGACAAATGCAGGGTAGTATTGCAGGGCCTCGGAAGGCCTTGGAAGGATTGCCATGCCCAAAGAATTGGAACCCTTGCAGGATTCCTGAGAGAAAGGGTTTCTCAGCAAGCTGCAGAGCTCAGCTTCCTCAGAGAAAGCGCAGTTGGGAGAGGGAATGAGGGCCCCCCTGTCCCCCTTTTCTTTGGACAAACCATCCCTAGGGCAAATTGCCAAGCCGCACTGCTGTGGAGGGCAAGACAGTCCTGCCACGTGGGACAAGCTGCTCCTCTCCAGCAGCAAAAAGCACAGTTAAGAAAGGGCCCAGTGGACTCCAAGGGCAAGAAACTGCTGCTCCTTTGCACTCTTACCCTGCTCTGTCTGGCGAGTGTGGCCAGATTGTCAAAGCTGGGCATCTCGGTTCTGTTCATGACGGAAATGTAGCAGGCGTTCTGTTGCGGGACTTTGGTTGCAATGACGCCCTGGAAAGAGAAAGTTATTGAGCACTGGCCGTTCAGTTTTGCAACTGTTAAGCCTGGGAGAAAGTGTGGATTGAACCAGTGAGACATGCGGATGGTTTCTACCCCAAAGGGCGAACTGAAAAGGTTCAGAAGAAAGGAAGAAGCCCCGTGCCTTGGTCAGCTGGAGCGGGAGGCAGCCTCCTCGCACAGTGCCCGGCAAAGCGCGCTCCCTGCCACTCACCGTGTTGTAGTTCCAGATGGTTTTCCAGGAGCCACTGACGGTCGTTTGCTGGATAACTGCCACGCGCCATGTCTTGTGGAGGGTGACAATTTGGGACTGGCCAGCAATGATGACTTCCTGGTTGTCATCCTGAGTCTGATCCTGATCCTGATCCTGACCCTGGGGAGGTTAAAACACCAAGGACAGAACATCTTCAGCCTTTGAACGGAGTCGGTGATCTCGCCCCCAAATCCCTGGTAGAACAGAAGAAGTGCTGCCCGCAGGGAGTGGCAGCAGTGAGCTGAGGATTTTGCCAAGGACAAGGGATCAAGGCTGTGGCAAAGTTGGGCAGTAGCCATAAGAATTCTTTGCCTGCCTTCCCCGAATCATTGCTGCATCTTACAGCTGCCGTGTGGTGCCTTTAGAGTGTGAGGCGTGCAAGAGAAGTAGCCAGAAGGAATGCAGGCTCAAGGTCTTGAAGGGAAAGCTCTGGTCACCCCCTGCTGTGTTTCAGCCTCTGCGTCCCCAAGAAAGAAGCTCTCCAAAGAGGAGATGCCGGACCAGAAGGACGTGGGGCTTGGCTTTGGGCAGCCCCCGCCCTCGGGTGGAGAAGAGTAAGGGTTTCAGACCTGGTCAATGTTGCCATTGTTGTTGCAGTACTTCAGGTCCACAACTTTCAGGACATTGAGGGTGACGCATGGTCCCTGGTTGACTTGGAGTCCTGGAAAAGCAAGACAAGAAAAATGCAAAGCCCATGAGGTGAGGCCTGCGACCTCTGCTGCCGCTCGCAAAGAGGGGGTGGTTGTTGCCTGGAGCGAGCGAGGTCGTGAGTCCTTGGCTGCAGGAGGAGTGTTGGAGACGTGCGAGGGGAAGATTCCTCTGGAGTGCCCAAAGAGCACGGGCCGTGTGGCTGAGGAAGGAATGGCCCCAGAGACGGGCTCTTGCCCACGCTGGGGCTGTTGCCGTGCAGCCCTCGGGGCACTGTTCCACTGGTTGCTGGGAGTGCAGGGGGCTGGGCAGTGCAGGGGCAGGCTGGTGCCAGTTGCTGGGCCCTGTCAGGCCGTGAGCTTGTGAGAGGAGCCTGCCGAGTGCAGGTCCTGAAAGTCATGGGCAATGCCATCCTTGGCCCGGGAACAACCGGCAGGGAAGGAAGCCACTTGGCCTGGTGCTGTGAAGCACACACAAGTGTTTGGTGGCTTGCTGGGTGAACTCCTGAGCAAGGTGCGAAGGGAAGGACAGGGCATCTTGTCTTTGTCTTTGCCCGGGCGTTGCAGAGGAGGTCAAGGTGGGCCAAAAGTCTGGGCCCAAACTGAAGCCACATGAAACTTGACGGATGGGAGGTGGAAGGGTTTGGAGCAGGTCAGTTCTGCAGGCTGGGACTCAAGCCTGGTGCAGTGCTGATCTGCAGAGATGCCGAAGGCTTTCTGCCTAAGCTGAAGCTCTTGCTTTCTGTCCGTCTTGAGTTGGAAGAGGACCACTGGTGCAGTAGTCATTCCCCAAGGGGAAAAAAGTGCCAGGTGAGAGAGAGACAGAATTGATTTGCTTGCACTCACCGTGAACTTCATAAGCTCTGTAGATGGTGAGTCCGCTGCACATGGTCGTGATGTCTTGTCCGTAGAAGTTGAGGTTGTTGACCAATCCACTGGCCACAAAGGTGAGCTTCCTTGTAACTCTTCCAAGACTGACCTGGTTCTGGACACCAAAAGAGAGCATTCAGCAAGATCAGTGGCGTGATGCGTTTCATGGCGGGCATATGGCGAGTTGTGCAGTGACGAGCCGGTGCTTGGGCTGTGACTGCCCCCTGCCTTTAGTGGTGCCTTTGAATGGCCTGGGGCCCATGGGAGCAGTAGTGTGCCTTGAAGACAGTTCCTAAGGCAGCCCTTTGTAAGGCAGTCAAGGTGCAGGGAGCCTAAGGAGAAGGGGCAGCGCAGGGCAAGCGCGGAGGCGGAGCGGAGGAGCGCTGCCAGTGTGTTAAGGCAGACGTTCGAGCAAATCATTTGCTCAGTCGCTGCCCTGGCCCCTCAGAGCTCCTCAGGTTGGAGGCTGGAAGCCTGGCAGGAGAAGTCTCTTCCTGCAGCCACCTCAAAGGGAAGCAAAGAGGGCAGCAGCAAGAGCGCGCAGGTCCTTTTTCCACTGGGACTCTTTGCAAGTGCTGCTTAGGACCTGTCTGAGAAGTGTGGGGGTTGGAGCGGGACAGGTCTTTCGGAAGGGCTCCAGAGTGCTTTGTTTCCCATGAACTTCCACTCTGGTCTCCTACTGGGGGCCTTTGTCACCTGCACCAAGCCCCGGGATGCCTGTCTTTCCTCCTATGAGCTCGGCTTCCCGCTGCTCTCTAACTCCTTCCTCAGCTACGGCCACGGGCCTGCAGTTGCGGCTCATGCCACTGGTGTGGGGGAAAGGCTGGGCACCACGGAGACGCTCTCTCCCACCCCAAAGGAAAAGAGAGTCTGGACAAGGGCAGCTGCAAGGCAAAGGTGTGAGCTGACAAATGCAGGGTAGTATTGCAGGGCCTCGGAAGGCCTTGGAAGGATTGCCATGCCCAAAGAATTGGAACCCTTGCAGGATTCCTGAGAGAAAGGGTTTCTCAGCAAGCTGCAGAGCTCAGCTTCCTCAGAGAAAGCGCAGTTGAGAGAGGGAATGAGGACCCCCCCGGCCCCCTTTTCTTTGGACAAACCATCCCCTGGGCAAATTGCCGAGCCGCACTGCTGTGGAGGGCAAGACAGTCCTGCCACGTGGGACAAGCTGCTCCTCTCCAGCAACAAGAAGCACAGTTAAGAAAGGGCCCAGTGGACTCCAAGGGCAAGAAACTGCTGCTCCTTTGCACTCTTACCCTGCTCTGTCTGGCGAGTGTGGCCAGATTGTCAAAGCTGGGCATCTCGGTTCTGTTCATGACGGAAATGTAGCAGGCGTTCTGTTGCGGGACTTTGGTTGCAATGACGCCCTGGAAAGAGAAAGTTATTGAGCACTGGCCGTTCAGTTTTGCAACTGTTAAGCCTGGGAGAAAGTGTGGATTGAACCAGTGAGGCATGCGGATGGTTTCTACCCCAAAGGGCGAACTGAAAAGGTTCAGAAGAAAGGAAGAAGCCCCGTGCCTTGGTCAGCTGGAGCGGGAGGCAGCCTCCTCGCACAGTGCCCGGCAAAGCGCGCTCCCTGCCACTCACCGTGTTGTAGTTCCAGATGGTTTTCCATGATAAATCTTTGCCCGTTTGCTGGATAACTGCCACACGCTTTTGACTATTGATCTTCACTGTTTGTGCAACGCCAGTGATGGAGATTTGGGTGTTTCCATCGACGATGATTTCCTGTTTTCCTTTTATCTGCTGATTCTTGCAAATTAAAGTATGCACTTTTAGATTGCGTAATTTTGCAGTGACCTCCCCAAAGCTTTAGAGAAATCCATGGTGGATTAGCATAATTGCTTCCCACAGGGAGCACCAGCAGTGAGCTGAGGATTTTGCCAAGGACAAAGGCTCAAGGCTGTGGCAAAGTTGGGCAGTAGCCATAAGAATTCTTTGCCTGCCTTCCCCGAATCATTGCTGCATCTTACAGCTGCCGTGTGGTGCCTTTAGAGTTTCATCTCTGAGAGGAGATTTCAATTTCTATCCACCCAGCAAATGAAGAAAGAATGAAGGAGATGTCCCAAAGCAGGGGATATAGAAACAGCAGCTGTGCAGGTGGGAATTGGTCCCTGTACTCACATTTTCACCAAGGGCTGGAGTCAGGACGAGTCCAAGAAGGACTGCAGTTAAAATCTGAAATGAAAATCAAATACAAAAGTGTAACTGCAGGTCTGGCTGGTGAATCTGGTCATGAGAATCCTCATGCCCTTTTCCTAATCTGCTATTGAAGTGTCCTCCTTGGATCCTCTTTTGCTTTCATCCTGGGATTGCAAGAGTGCCCTAAAGTGAGTCACCCTCGCTTTGCCCCAGAGTGCCACAAACTGGACTCGTTTCACAGTTGCTGTTTCAAGAGCTGAATCTCAAGTTGCTTCTGAACAGGCACACACAGGTTTTTTACAAGAGTGAGGAGAAAGCTTTTCCATTTCTTCTGCTCTGCCATACAGGGAAGTGGTTGATCCATTAATGCAGTGCTCCAGTTTTGCAAAGCATTGACAAAAATGGACATGGACAAGGTTTTGTGTATTCTGCATAATGGAGAGCCAAGCTGTGGGAAAACTCCTTACCTTCCAGCTAATAAGTGCTGAGCTGCTCAGTCTGGAGGAGCAAAATGTCCCCAGAGAAACCTCTGTGCTCTGGGCAGGCAGAGGCACTTCTGAGAGAAAGGCAATGGGATTGAATGAAAGGTTTAGTTTATAAGGAAGAAAAGCTTGTATACTCACAGGGAGCTTCATCCTGACTGCAGAGCTGATGCTCCTGCAGGTAGAAAGAGTGATGTGAACCTCCCACCTTATATATGTTTTCTGAATTCACGGTGGAAGGGTTGAGTGTTGAAATAAAATTATTTTGTCATTTGTTTCCCTGTCACTTGTCACTGAAAATTATTTCCTGCTGTAACTACTTGATAAACATGGGGACTGTACTTTTGCACATTTTGACCTGCTGGAGTCTCATAATTATCAGATAGGAATCCATTTGCAGTGAAAAATTAAATAAGTTTATAGTATTTTTCTGACATGTACTAATTACTTTTGAAAATTCACTTTAAACTTAAGACTGGAGATATCCTGGGGTTTAAACAAGGACATAAAAAAATTTGCATTAGACAGAATGAGTAAAAGTCCTTGCACCTTCCAAAATGTACTGTGTGTTATCAGGTAACCATAGCACCCACTAAAATACAGCGGTGGGGGCTGGGACATCCGTGCCTCAGTGGACTTGGCAGAGCAGCCCTGGCAAATTTGTGCCTTTCCAGTTTTACTAATTTACAGCTGTTATTATATATTTTTCCTCATAAGTGCATGAAAGTAGAGCAGTTTTGTGAACAGTGGGGCCCAGTTGCCATGTTGTGCTCTCCTGTTGGAATTCTGACTTTAAGTGAGATCCTGTTGTAGAAGGCACTGTCCCTTCCAGAAGCACCTGTGCCCTGCAATTCCCTGCACGGAGAGCAGGGAGGCTCTGGTTGCAGCCTGGCTGTGGGTATCCCTGTTTGCCCGCGAGGCTGCCAGGCTCTTGGCACGAGATGCTGCACCACAGACCCTGCTCAGGTCAGACCCCGGCTGCCTCGGGGCACTTGAAATCATCATCCGTGACAGTCTGGCCCATGGTGTCCAGGGGTTCAAAAGCCCCCAGAGAGACGTTCCCATTGACTCACAATAGGATAAGGGAAGAGGGCTGTGCCTGTGTGATCTCAGGGAAAATGCAGTGTAGAGCTGGAAAAGGAGAGGAGGGTCTCTCCAGAAACCCCAGGCAAGGCAGACGGGAACTTCTCTTTAAATACTGCAACCCCACAGCTTTTCCTTGGAAGGGCTAAAATATTCTTGGGTACAGTTTTGCTTTGGTTTTAATGTCAGTTGACCCTTAGAGACCCCAAAAGCCTTTTCCTGAACGGACCAGGCTGCTGTGTCCTTTCTTTAGAGAAACTCTGGGCTGTTCCTGAGTGGGTAAAATGTCTCTTGGAGTAACTCCCATTAAAGGCCAAGGAAAGGGTCCCTGAGCAAGGAGGGAAGGTGAAGATCTGCTGTGTCCCACACAAACTGAGTTAGTGATGTTTTAGATGAAGAAACTGCCCAGCCTTTTTGCCTTACTTTTGGCCTAATTTGACTCTTTCAAATTTCCAACTTTAACTGGTTAGGGGATGTTTCTTTGCTTTCTGTGTTAAACCTTTATGAAACATTCTTAAATAATTTCTGTTTTTCAATTCCAGACTGCATTGAATACATTTTTTAATTCTGTCATTTGCTCCTTGATTTCTGGGTTGATCAGAGAGCAGTAGTGTATCTGTCTATTTGCAACTGGCCATATTGCACGACACTGCTTATGTCACCATTTGCTTCTAGTAGTGATGAATAATTGCTCAAGGCAGCATGTGAAATCTCCCTGGGAAATTGTACAGGATGAGGTTTAAATGCCAAAATTGGGATTTTGCAAGAACATTCGTTTATCTACTTTTCTTTGGAATTGCTTCATATTTAATTTAAAGAGTTAGTAAAAACACAGCATAGACCAAGGTAGGTTGATGATAAATTTTACTGAGACCCAACAGCCTCCACACAGAGTAGAAGAGAGACAGATAAATGACTGAAAGTATGATCAAGAGAAGAATATCAAGGAGAAAAATCTTTCTTATGGGTACACAGTTCTATGAATTTTCTTCCTCAGACTTTGTCAGGAAAAATCACAGTAATAAACAGGCAGTTCATTAATTCTGACATTCAATCATGAAACATGTCGTTCTAAGAAGTTTGATCCTGAGAAGTTTGATCCTCTTAAAAAGTTTGATCCTGAAAGAAAAGGAAAAAGTGATTAGATTTGCACTGAGAAAATAAGAAAGTAGCTGAAATGCTTCCAACTAGTTTCAACTAAAAAAATCCAGACATGTCAAGAGCTAGAGCCCAGAACCTTCTTGAAAAAAGCTGGTGTCCAGGTTGTATGCAGAAGAGTGACAGACCTGCTGCATTTCCTCATGTACATATTCACTGATGTATAAAAAGTCATAGAATACCACAGGATTTCAATAATTGACTTGCTCACCTTTGCTTGAATCATTTTTGTGGTCTTGTTAACCTGCCTTTATTTTGGAACACAAAGGCTGTCAGCAGCAGACTCACCAGGAGCTGGGTAAGCCAGGTAAGAGGGAATTCCTCTGCACAGAGCTTGGATGCGTTTTCCATAAGGACTCAAGCTCTGGAGTCTGTTCCTCGAGATGATGAAGCGATTCTCTCTGGGTGGCAGTGGGTGAGGCTGAGATCCCTGAGCATCAAAGAAACAAACCCAGAAAACAGCATTTAAGAAAACCAAGAACAGAGCTCAGAGCCTGGGGATGAAGGGATGGAGAGCAGCCCTGGGGAGAAGGACTTTGGGGGTGCTGGTGGGTGAGAGGCTGGACCTGCCCCATCGATGTGCACTCCCAGCCCTGAGCCCTCCCATGCCCTGGGCTGGTCCCACAGTGTGGGCAGCATGAGGGGGGTGGTTCTGTCCAGAAGAGGCCACAAAATGATCAGAGGGATGGAGCAGCTCTGCTGTGGGGAAAGGATGAGACAGTTGGGATTGATCAGCCTAGACAAGAGAAGGCTCCAGGATGACCTAATTGTGGCTTTCCAGGACCTGAAGGGAGCCCACAAGAAACATGGAAAGAGACTATTTACAAGTGCCTGGAGTGCCAGAACAAGGGGGAACGACTTCCCACTGCCAGAGGGCAGGTTAGATGGGATATTGGGAAGGAATTCTTCCCTGTGAGGGTGGTGAGCCCTGGCTACAGCCACAGCCTCAAACAGACAAGCTGTGGCTGCCCCATCACTGGAAGTGTTCAAGGCCAGGTTGGACAGGAATGGAGGTTATTCATGGGCAATGCAACTTCTGCAAGGACTTTGAGAGAGATTCAGCTATAAAGCCAAGAAAATTCTCTTCAGCTCTTGGGGCCTTTTCTCCTTTGCATGTAGGAACAGGCAATTGATTGGCTTTTCACAGGCAATCAATTGGCTTTCACACCACTTTCATCCACCATCCTACCGTGTCTCCTTGAGGTGGTGTAGGAAACCGTTTGCCAAGCCAAAACCTCCTGCTCGTTGAAGCAATGATGCAGGTGTTCTTTGAAAACACTTTAGTTGCAACGTAGCCCTGTTAAAATTAAACAGAAAACCCCTTTTTGTTGCAAACAGAGAAAGAGAAGTGGATTGCTAGAGAGAGGCACTGGTCAAAACAAAGGCTTTGTGGAGTGCAAACAGTCATAGGGAAAGAAAAATATTGGTCCTTTCAATTGTATTGTTTTGGTAAATGTGTCGTGGAGGCTGTTGCCTCTTCCAGTAATGCCACGTGTGTGATGTGTTATCCTGCTTAAGGCAGGTGAAGGAATTTGCTGCTGGAAAGCTCAGTGCACTCACAGTAAGGCAGAACCAGTCCCATGGCTGCAGGAGCACATTTTTAAGAATCTCCCCTAAAATCTGGTGAAGTTTTGTTGAAGCTTCGGTGTTTTTCAGAAACCTTCTGTCTATTGTCATTTTTTTGGAGCCATAATGGTAGCTACTTACAGTCTTGAAGTCCCAGACAGTTTTCCAGGCCTCAGAGCCCTCCTTTGGGTCGGTGTCAGAGTGGTTTGAGTTGTCACTGTGGTGCTCATTCTCAATGTTCTGATTTTTGGAAAAGATTAAAGGAGATAAGGATAAAGCTTTGGGGATTCCCAGGAGTGTTTCACTCATTAAAGCAATAGTTCTAGTAGACATGTTTTGGGAAATTATTGCTCTTGGAGATCATTTTAAAGGGGAGATAATTTCTGACCTCAGAACGAAGACTTGGAAGCCCTTTAGTTTCTAAGTAAGTAAAATAATTCCTTGTTGTTCTTTCCCCACCAGGAGTTTGCAGACACCAGATTACTTACAGTATTCCCCTGGATTTTGTGGTCAGATCATTCATGCTGATATTTATTTCTCTCCACACCACTACTTACAGGGGTTTTGCTCATCTCAGGACAGACTTTCCTAATTTCATATATGGTAACTGGTTTTTTCCCTTGGTACATCAAGCACATTAATATTTCCCTTGGTGTGTAATAATAATAAAAATGTAGGTTTTTTCTAAGCAACACACTTAAAAATGCAGCTTGACTCACAGAACTGTGTTTGTCAGAAGCAACAGCTAAAGGCCACTAATTCTTGTGGCAGAAGTGAAGAGCTGTGTGTAGCTCTATCCTTACCTTGTTGGCAAGAGCTGGAGCCAGGAAAATTCCAAGAAGAGAAGCAATCACAATCTGAAATGAGTATTTGAATTCACAACATTTTAACATTGTACTGCTTATTTTGCATCAAGTTATTTGCTGTCTTTAAATAATTTTTACTTCCACTTAACTTTGTACACAGGACCAGCACTTTCTGCAGCAAGACCTGGCTGAAGAGGATTTAAATATGCAGGAGAATTTTTTTAAATGAGTTTCCATGAGATCATCAATGCACAGAAATTGCCCTGAACCAATAGGTTCTAAAACTTGCCCAGCCCCAGTCCAGTAAACTCCTTGGAAAAAGGTGTTCTGAAATAATTTCTTTGAAAGAGTGAGCTTTTCACCTTGAGCTTTTGATCAGACATGGAGCAGATCCATGAAAGATCCAGGAACACCTGTTGTGAAGAGCTGGAACGTGGATGCCAACTCCAGCTCTGTAGTCAGCAGCAATGGGACCTGAGCACCCTCACAGAGATTTCATCCTCCGAATACAGAGCTAATAATCTAAGCGTTGGCAGAAGCCTTTCTGTTCAGAGAAATGTGACATTAAATATTTCTATCCCCTTTATAAAGTCAGAGTTTCAGTGACTCATGTGCTTGTTATTGTCCAAACTACTGCTGGTCTCTTTTGGAGAGATTTAATACTGTTATGAAGATAAATTCTTTTGCGATAACTATTGTTTACAATTATTCTCTTGGAGACAATCCCTTGAATATTGAATCAGTCCCAGATTTCATCTCCTTCAAAGGAGGATTTTGGTGAGAAAGATCCAAGTGTGACTCAGAATATTTAACACTAACACTTTGGAATTTATCCTGCACAGTTCCAGGCTGCTGTAAATACCCCAGCACTACCGTCCTGCACGTGGAGTCTCTCATGGTTCTTCTCCTACGCTCTCAGCACAGCTGTGCCCTCACTTTATGGACCTTGCCGAGACTGTTGACTTGCCTCTGAGTTGTGAAGGAGAGAATATTGTCCTTTGGACGTTCCACATGCATGTGTCACCCCAAGACAGAGCACTTCTCTCTTTCATGTTTGAGTAGGCAGATGGAGTTACATCCCTGCCAGAAGGGACATTTCACCCATGCAGTCCCCACCCCTCTGGCATTTTCTCTCTGTGATCCTGCAGAAATCACTAAGAGGTCACTTGGTGCCAAGAAAGACTCAAAATCATTTAAACTGTTCAGCCTTAAGAGTTTTATGAGAAAGTGATTCGTCTACTTACAGTGAACTTCATTTTGATGGTAGGCCAGGCAAGCTCTGCTGGTAATTGATGTGTACTCTTAGTTTTTATACATAATACCCCAAAGTTAAATGTGAAAATGGGTTTATCCTATTGGCAGGTGCCCTGTGTTCACAGAAGCATGACGGGGTTCCTGAGGAAGTGCTCTGATAAGAGGAGGCTTTGATAGCAGCCTGATTGAATTCATTGCATAGAGGGAGATGAAAGAAAACTTGTCATGGTAAGTCCCGAGTATTTAACAGTAACTTTTAAATGGAAAAGAATAATGATCAGAACCAGAGACCAGATTCCCAGTAAACTTGTAATGACACTTTGTGCCTGCGTGGCAAAGGACTCAGCCTGACATTGTACCTATAACCAAAACCACCATTCAAATCAGGGCAGGTGGTGATCTTGCTGTGTTAAAAATGTTGCCAGTCCTTGGAGATCATGAGGCTGGTTCTAAATCACAGAAATTCCTGAGTTCTGTTGTTGACCCTTCCCTTCTGAGCTCATTCAGTCAGGATCTGCTTTCTGGTCCTCTGCTCCTGCCTGATGCCTGACTCGGACTCCCTGAGTGCCAAGGAGGTGGAGCAGTCTGGCTCTGCTTCTCATCTCTTTCACATCCCCTTTGCAGTTTGCTGGAGGTGTCAGATATGGTGAATGAAAAGATTTATGGGACTGATTTGTGGATGGAGTCAGGTATGTTCTTAGCCTCCAAGACCCCAAATACCTATCAAGTATGTGTCACAAAATCCTCTCATAGCCTCTGTAAATTCCATTAATGGAGTCATTCTCAAGAAAGGCAGGAGAAACTGGGCTGTATAATCCTCATCCCTGCAGTGTCCTTAGCAACTGTGGGAAGGAACTTTGTGTCTTCCAACAACCAGAGCCAACGTGGCCATTGCAGTAAGTGTCACACTTGGACCCCTGAATCTGCACATCTTCCACCAGCTGCTGATTGCTTGAGTAGTTTGTATGGGAAAGGCACAGCTTGAGCACTTGCCATGAAGGTTGGCTTACAGAACTAATGAGCCAGTAGAATAGCCAGGAAAAAGGGCAGGGAATGGGGCTTTGACTGGGTAAGCCCCCGGTCTTCTTCCAATAAAAGATTGTCTCCTCTTTCAAGCTCTGCTCAAGGCATTCTGTTCCATAGTAAAATTCTTGTACCCCTGTGCAGCAAACTCCTAAGGGCAAGAGTTGTTCCAGTTTTCACCCTTTCCTCAAATTAGTGTTTTGTTCTGAACACACACTTACATTTTCATGTGGGTTTTTTGCTCCTTACTGTCTAGCAAGAGTAAAACTACTGGAATTCTTTCTGGTTTCATCCTGGAAGCTTGAGTTTGATATTTTCCTTTGTAACTATGAAACATTATTAATTCTGCTTGACCTGTCCTTGAGACATAGTTTTCTAGGCTATGTCACCCCACCTTTATCTAGAGCGTGGCCCACACGAGTGCAAATGGGAGCATGGAGAGTTATGTTGGTTTTTTGAGGTGTTGCTTCACTCTTTACTTTTCTCCCACTACCTCCTCACTCCCTGATAAAGTAAATATTTATGAAAAGTACCTGGAGAAATACCCTGTGAGTCACCAGGAGAGTTTATCATGATCATATAATCTCCCCTTGACTTGATTGAATCCTTCTCCTTTAGATGTTAAAACCCTTGTTGAGCACTCAGACTTGAACTGAAATGGTGCAATTATTCTTTTCACTTGATGCTCAAGATTCTTTGGTTTAAATGTTTTCTAGTGGATGATAGTGTCAATTAATGGGTCAAATTCTTATATTAAGAGAATTCTGTAGCCTAATGATTTTTCATCAGGGTAAAGTAGAATGTATTTGAAAGTATTTGTCCTTACAAAAATAATGGAGAAATGAATCTTCCTGTGATGATAATCGTTGCTGCACTGGGACACCGTGTTATGTGTTCTGCACATTTCTCAGATTCCATTTTCTGCTCACTTCCCTCATACAACCAACCTGCCTGCAAGTGTAACAGCTGGAGAAAGAGTGGTTTTATTTGGGGAAAGGTGTGAGAGGCTTCTCTTAGATCAGAAGTATGGAAAGCACAAGGACTTTGAGAATGTGACATCACTGGAAAATGTCACGTTCTCCAAGAGGTTCTGAGCTACGGCTTCGTAAGCCAAACCTCCCTCTGCCTGAGGCCTGGGGAAGTTAAATTAGAGGGGTTACAGCCCTTCTTATGTAGCTCCTTCCTTCAGCTACTTCATATAGAAGGTGCTTCGAGGACTTGAGCACAGAGAGTGGCAGTGACTGGGGTGACACCAGACTGTGACCTGTCACTGGTGGGGTCCCACAGGGCTCCCCCTTGGGCCCTGTGCTCTTCAACATCTCCGGCAATGACTTGGCCACGGGACTGGAAGGGACACAGAGCAAGTTTGGTACAAAACTGGGAGGAGCTGTTGAGTCCCTGGAAGGCAGGGAGGCCCTGCAGGGAGACCTGGACAGATCAGAGGCCTGGGAATCATCAACCATGGGAAGTTCGACAAGGGAAATTTCGGATTTTGGCCCTGGGATGGGGCAATCACAGTTGCATGGGCAGACTGGGGAGTGAGATGCTGGAAAGGAGTGCCAGGAAAGGGACCTGAGGGCAGAGAGACCATGACAGATCAGAGATGGACAATCCCCAACCATGGGAAGTGGAACAAGGGCAAGGGCCGGATTGTGCCCCTGGGCCGGGGCAGCCCTGGCTGTGTGTGTGGGCTGGGGGTGAGAGGCTGGAGAGCAGTTGCAGGAAGGGCCCTGGGGGTCCTGGTCCATGGCCAGTTGTTCCTGAGCCAGCAGTGCCCTGGCAGCCAGGAGGGCCAACGTGTCCTGGGGGCATCAGGGAGGGGATTGTCCTGCTCTGCTCTGCCCTGGGGTGGTCTTACCTCAACATTGGGGCAGTTTGGGGGGACACAATATAACAAAACCATTGGAGAGTGTCCAAAGGAGGCAATGAGGATGGGGAAGGGCCTTGATTGGAAGCCGCATGAGGACACTGAGGGCACTTGGTGTGTTCAACTGGAGAAGAGGGGACTGAGGGGAGACCTCACTGCAGTTCCAACTCCATGGGGAGGGGCAGGGACTGAGTTCTGCTCTGGGGGGACCAGGGACAGCAGCCAGGGAATGGCTGGAGCTGTGCCAGGGCAGGCTCAGGTTGGATCTCAGGGAAAGGTTCTTCCCCCAGAGGCTGGTTGGGCACTGACCAGGCTCCCCAGGGCAGTGGGCACAGCCCCAAGGCTGCCAGAGCTCAGGGAGGGTTGGGATGATCCTCCAGGGCACAGGGGGTGACTCTTGGGGCTGGGCCTGTGCAGGGTTGAGGGTTGGACTGATGGTCCTTGTGAGTCCCCCCCAACTCAGCACATTCTGTGACTCTGTGCTGATTTTAGGCATGTTCCTGGGAGATATGTGATAAACTGTGGGGAAAAAGCCTCCAAAAAGCAAGGCTTTCCTGTTGGAAGTATAACATCTTTGCCTGAGACAACCAACTTGGCCTGTGTTCTCTCTTGCAATTGTGCTAATTAGTCAAATGTTTTTCAGAAATTAATCTTTAATTTTTGTTCTTGTCTGATGAGATGAGCAGAATCCAGCCAGTCCAGTGGAAGGTGAAAATTGTGAGATCGTGAAGCTCTCCTTCAGTGAATAACTGTGGATCTCCCAGGTCACTCTGCCCTTACCTGTGTCTGAGCACATTGATGCCTAGGAAAGCAGGAGCTCATGTTTCTTGGGTGTTTTTCAGAAGAAATGAGTATATAAAGGCATGGAAAATTAAACAGAAAAAAAACCGTCTAAAAGTAATGGAAAATTAAGTTCAACTTTCCCTTTAATGCATTTAGGAACTTATTAAAGCTTTTTGTTTTAACTTGTGGTGCCTGACCCTGTTATATTCCTTCTGTTAAAAGCTTATTTGACTGCTGAAATCTGCACTGAGTATTTCTGACATAACTGGAATCTTAGAAACAAAGAATCTTTTGAGAAGGGCCAGGGCCAGCTCTTAAGAGGAGGGCAACTTCAACCTAATTAGTCTAACTGTGCTTATCACAATTTGATATCTGTTTATGTGCTTTCTGATACATTGCTTGGCAGCACAGCTTTGTTACACTGGAGATAACCTTTTCTTGTGTGGACTTAGGTGGCATAAAGCAAATGTGTACAATTTCCTTTTTTTTTTGTTTTCCACTGAGGCCTATTTGCTGAGAGAGATTTCTGTACAATCTCCTTCACTTTTTTCCTGATAACAGAGATTACAGAAATGTGTTTGCTGTTAGTTTGAGTTCTTGTTTTATTTGGAGGGAACCGGCCTCGATTATGACCTTTTAGTAGAAAGCAGAGTGTGATTCATCAAGGTCCAAGCACTGGCTGGGGTGGAGTCGTGGGTGAGGAGGAGCCCAGGCAAGGTGGCAGTCACCAGAGAACACTTCTCATGGGAAAATCGTGGGGTCATTGGATTTTCATAAAACACAGCAATCAGTGGCACCTTTAAAGGGGGAATCCCCATCCTGGTCCTTTGGTTCTGTGACCTTGTGTTGAAACTATGCAGCCTCTGAATTTTCCCATCATTCCTTTGAATGCTGAGGAGGCCAGAAGTCACCACAGGTTGGCCTGTGAAGCACAGCTGTTGTTCCTAATTCTGTCACTAATTTCAATGCACGTTCTGTCCGTCATGGGAACTGATCAAAACTGAGCAGCACTTCTTGTGAGAGACCATGCACAGAGAAGAGAATCATGGAATCCCACAATGGTTCGAGTTGGAAGGGACTTTAGGATCATCCAGTTCCAAACCCCTGCCATGGGCAGGGATGCCACTCACTGGAGCAAGTTGCTCAAGGCCCCACCCAATATATGAGATGAAGGAAATGGCTGTGGAATTGTTCTGTTGGGTGGCTGGTGTGGAGGCCACCATGACACAGGTGTTTCTTTCCAGGATTTGTCTGCAGACCGTCAGTCGGGCTCTTAGGGATCGTATTCCAGAAGACAAAATGCAGTTTGTACAAATAAATAGCAGAGTTATTCCCAATGTCATTTAATTCTGGTTAATATCCTGTTAAATATTTAAAAAAATAGAACCAGCAAGACTGGGAACTCCTCTAAAGTTTAAACCAGCAAATAATAGCCATTTGTAGAGTGATTGATTTGCTGAGTCTTACTGAGTGCTTTAAATATATCAGGGTCAGGTTATCTGTGCCAACCCAAAATTCAGATAGGAGGCTTACGACATGTAGATATGGACTTGTTCGAGTCATGAAGGAAAGTTCTGTCAAGTGTTTCCCACACCTCCAGCAAGATATAAAAGTTGAAGGTCCCTGAGATTTCCCCACGTTTTATTCTGCTGCGTCTTGTTCTCATCCGAAAGAAAAATGAAGAGACTTGTGAGTATCTCCATTTCTGTTGAACTTTTAATACTGTATGTTCCTAATTCTTAGAAACAAAAGGAGAGAGGAGAAGATGCTCAAGTGGTACAGTACAGGGTACAGTGTGTTGTTTCTTTGGTGGTTCAGTAAGAAACCTGCATTCCTTGGGTCAGTGCAGTCTGTTGCAGCATCACTTGAGCAAAGAGTGAAGAAATGGTTACCGTTCACAAGGGGAGTTTATTTGTGATTTAATAATTGCAGTTGTAGAGGCAAATCAAGAAGTAACAAGGCATCAAGGAGGGACTTCTGAAAATACAAAAAAAACTATTGGTTAAGTTATTCTACTTTTTCAGTTACAGGCAAAAGAGACCCAAATAGCGAGAAGTTTGCAATGGAAATTGTTTTCAACTAATATACGTGTTAAATGGGTCATTTTTCAAACTGATGCTACAGCTGCTGCCCTCAGTTCATAGTGTTTTGAAGTCACTGCCTGGTGTTTTGCTGAGTGAGATGCTCATTCCTTTTACAGGCTGCAGTCCTTGTTTTGCTGGGAGTCTTCTGGGCTCAGACTTCTGCACTGAACGTAAGTAGATGATGAACCTTCTCCTGAATGTGCTCATTTAAAATGTGTTGGATCCCTTGGCAGGGGGAATAAAATAGGCAGAAAAGCACAGAAGGAACTAAGAAGTTGGTTATTGCCAAAGAAAAAGAGCTTTTGCCAGAGGTGACAGTCAAGGCAAAGAGGTGGTTCTGTGCAGGTGCAGAGTAAAGGAAATCTGGGGAACACAGGTCCCCCCAGCTCCTGCTAAAATATGGAAACTAGTGCAGTGTCCTGCCAGCCCCAGATGACTGGTACGTCCCACTGTGGTTTTCCTCGACCTGCAGGAGGGCCCGTTGCACAACTGATCTCCACCTCAGGAGCCTCCTGAGACTGCTCGAGGGTTGTGAAGGGATTTAGTGTTTACCTAAAGCAAATTGGGTTTTGTTGCACCTGCTCAAGATGAAGGCAGATGATGAGCAATGACCCTGTGCTGTTTGCCACAGACCTTTGTGCTGCGGGAGCCTGGCAGTAACTATGTCACTGGGACCATGACCATCCACAACGAGGAGCACATCGTCGACGTCCACGTCCGCTCCGGCGTCTACTCCTCCGATACCATTTTCGACTACTCCCGTGTAAGTAAAGCAAAGAACCGGCCTCCCCTTCATCTCTGAGCAAGTTTTTAAACTCAGAAATTATTTTGGTCTATTTTCACCACGTGCTGCCCTGAAACCCGTTTCTTTGAAGCCTCCCATCGCCTTTCCCCTCTTAGGCCATGTCCTTGTCTCATCCATACAATGGGTTGGTTTAAAAGGCTTGTAATGAAACCTGCAGTGGCACTTCATGACAGTGAGAAGAATGTCTCTGGCCTCGAGGAGAGCAGAGTTGAAGATGGGCTGCCAGCACTCAGGTGCAACAAAGTCTGCCAGAAATGATGCTTCCAGTCTTACAGACAGACACTGGGACAGGCTTCCATTCCCAGGGGTGACAATGTAAATGCAGAGTCATCCCACAGCAGCCTGTGTGGCCACTCGGGGTTTCTTCTGGATTGCCCTAAAGTGGAGACCATCAACCAACATCAGTGGTAGCCATTTTTAGTTAAATATTTAACCGTCATTCTTTTTGTCCCAGGGGTATATTGCCACCAGGCTGTTCTCCCGAAATGCCTGTTTCATCATGAAGATCAAAAAGGAATACATCCCCGAGCTGCGCGAGATCGGACGGCTGGCGTTTGAGAAACGGGTGAGTCTGCAGTGAACCCCTCACTGCTCACAAGGAGGGCAGGATGGGTGGGGTGTGGTGGGAGCCCCCCACTCTGCCTCCAAAAACAGCTGCTCTGTTGCTGTCTTAGCGATGATGGAGCTGATCTGACAAGATAGAACTTTCAGGGAATATCATGTAGAACATTCTAATGAACAATCACGGCCCCCCTGCAGTTTTAAAGTAGGCTGTCAAGGTGTCTTGAACTGTACAATCCCCAGTGCTTGAAACAGACGTAATTTGACTATTTTGAGGTGATCACAATATAAGTCTGGGCAGACTTGCCCTTTTTTTCATTGTCCTGCTGATATTTTGAGCTTGACACAGCTTGAATTTTTTTTTTTTCTTCAGAACAGAGCTTAGAGATCAATTTATTTTGACCAGACATTGACTTCCCTATTCAGACTGAGGTTTCAGGACGTGACTGGAAGTATTTCTTGGAGATGACCTGGAGTTCTGGCTCATTTTGTGCCAACTCAGCAGTAGCACATTTACAGCAAAACTTACTGCCAATTAATGTAATTCAATATGACAGAAATACAGCTCAGGTTTGCTGTGTTGGCAGAATTATTATCTAGTGAATTTTGTTTCTGAATAGATTGAAAACATTTATTTCTCTTTAAAGGCATGGAGCTTCTTTAGCTAATGTTTTTTTGTGAGGCAAAGGAAGGTGATTTTCGGTTTGGGAACCAAAGCTACATCACTCATGCTGTGTAACCTCTCCTTTTCAGACCATGAAGGATGTTTACTCTCCAAATAATGTGTGGACCCTGTTTCAAACTGGCAGTTCTGTGCTGGGGCGTTTGAAGGACTGGATTCTCTATGGCAAACACATCGAAAAGCTCTGCTCGGGGCTGCCCCTCTACCAGCTCACAGCCACTGAACGTGAGTCACAGATCAGAACACGCTGCTCTGGTCCGGTGCATAACCTGCCCCTCAAACCCTCCTGTCCTTTAAGTCCTCGTGGTACCTTTGAGCTGTGCAGACATTTCCTCCCACTCAGTTACACCACAAATGTTTGGCGCAGTTTTGGGACCGACAGGAGCCTTGAACAGGGGATTGAGATTTTTTCCTAACTGGATACAGGGATCTCATCACTGATCATATCTTCGTCTTCTTGTTTCTTGTAGCACAAGAGAACACTGATGGCTGTGCCAGTGCAGGAATTCCAAGTATTTTGGGCCTTAACATCTGTGAACAGCTCATTGCAACTGGATCTTGACATTCCTGCTGCTAGGAATTGCGTGGTTTCTTTGCATGCTTTTCTGATGGAGACCATGTTCTCCAGCTGGAACAGAGCTCGGGTATGAGGCTCAACTTGCCTATTCAAGGCTTTGATGTACGACAAAGCTATGATATACAAATAAAGATAATGCTTTAATAATCGAGTAAAATGCTTTGCCCTTTTTATTCATCCAAAATCAGAACAGAATTAAAGTGGGCCTTGCCAGTTTTCCTGCAGAAGAGACACATTTCCCTTTGGTTTGTTGCTGTGCTCAGGCTGCAGCGTGGCCCAGGCGTTGCTTTTGCTTCATGCCAGTGAAGAATCAGAAGCTGAATAGTGGAGAACTTCACTTTGGCATCAACATCCAGCCTCTTCAGGTGCTGGTTCACCTTAGGTACAACTGCTGGAGGGAGGGAGCAAACAGGTGAACGGAGACAAAGGAAGGGAGCAGATCGACATTGCCAACATTTGCAAATAAATGAATTGAATTCTGTGGGGCCAGTGGGAGTTTGCAGCGGTTTGAATGAGTGCAGAGAGGTTTTGTTTTGCCATTTTCAAACCTAGATAGAGGAGACTGTCCCAGTCCTAAACAATTTGTCACCTGGAATGAAGTTTCCCTTTCACACAATGCTAGGGCACAGAGAGCTGTGACCACTTGCTGAGTGGCCCACATTGGAGAGTCTTTTGTGTCAGGGGCTGATGGAAATAAGGATGAGGCAGCACTGCTGCCACCTCCCTGCTCTTGTGCTAATCCCAAGGAATGGTGGAACTCCCACATCCTTTCCATCAGTGCTTGGAAGGGGTGGATATGTTGGGGCTGAAAACTGAATATTTACTCTTTATTGGAGCCTGGGCGGCTGCCAGAGGACAAGACATTCCTTTGGAGAAAACGGGTTCCAGGTCTGCAAGTTGTTATTTTCAAATCAGACTCCTGGTCAAACCATCTGCTGTTTATTAAAGGAACATTTTATCATATGGTGAAAGCTGTCCTTTTGGATTATTTGTATCCAGAACAGGCTGCGGGTTCTTGGTGAGCCAAAGAATGTTTCTGGAGAGTCAAATTTTGGTAATTAAATCCAGGAATACTTGTTTTATGTTCTATGAACTCTGAAACAAGCCTCAATATACCTCATTATCTGCCATTGAATTCTGAGTTAGGGAGTTGTGTTCCTGCCCTTCAAGTACTCAAAAATGGAAGAAGATTGTTTCTAGCTTTAATTTTAGTTGCCAGCCTCATTGTATCAGTCAGGCCTGTGAGGAATATATTTGCATTTTGACTGCTGTGTTTGTTGTTTGGTAAATAAAGCTCCAGCTCTCCATCCACTCACAGCACCTCCAATGCCCACATGTCCAGCTCATGGGAAACTTCTGGGTGCAGAACCCCGAGGCAAATCTGTTGTGGTGTTGCTGCACCTTTTGGGGTCCAGTTCACAACAAAGACAGAAGGAAGTGCAGGAAGAATCATAAACCAAACAACCCACCTGGCCATGTTCTGCTTCCCCCAGTGTTTTACAGGATGGTCTGTTCCCACGTGAGCACACATGGGCAAGTTGTAGCTCTGAATTTACTGCCCTTGAGCCCAGCTTGTTGGTATCACCAACAGCCTGAAAGGTCCTGCTAGAAAAGGCTGCAGAGCAAAAGAAATTTATTCCCAATTTAAAATAACTAATTACAGGGCAAACAGGAATGTACACCCAGCTCTGAACAAAGCAGAGAAAAGGACATATGCAGGAGGAAGAAATTTGATATTTTATTTATTGACACTGTATTTGCCCTTGTGATTTCCTGCCATTTCACTCTTTGCTGACTAGGCCACAGTTTACAGTATGTTCTATGTACATGTATTACACTGTAATTAATCTATTTTTCTTATCTTGCAGGTGGTTGATATTATTACTGAACTACAGGGAAAGACCAAGGAGGTAAAAAGCAGCAACAACAGGTAAAGTGTCCCTGAAGATCAGGTCCATCTGTTGCCTTAAATAACTGTAGCCTGAAAATGTTGGCAATCTTTAAATCAGTCTGTCAGCAAAGGGTCTGCTCTGAATGGTCATGATCCAAAGGAAATCACAGAATCATGGAATTGTAAAGTTTGGGAAAGACCTTTAAGTTCACCAAGTCCAACCATCAACCAGCACCACCACCATGTTCACCACTAAACCACTCAAGTGCCACATCCAAATGTTTTTTGAACACCTCCAGGAATCGTGACTCCACCACTGCCCAGGACAGCCTATTCCAATACTTAACAACCCTTTCCAGGAAGGAATTTCCCCAATATCCAACCTGACCCTCCCCTGGCACAGCTGGAGGCCGTTCCCTCTCTTCCTGTCCCTTGTTCCCTGGGAGCAGAGCCCGACCCCCCCCAGCTCCCCCCTCCTGTCAGGGGGTTGCAGAGCCAGAAGGTCCCCCCTGAGCCTCCTTTTCTCCAGGCTGAGCCCCCCCAACTCCCTCGGCTAAGTTAATTCTAAGTTAATTCTCAATTAACTTCGACATGCTCTATATGATACAAAACATCTGTCCTAGACCCCCTCGGGTATCAGTAGCTTTGTGACTTGTCTGTTGGGGAGGATCTTTTTGCATTGTGATCCATGAGATTTTCCACTGGGATGGATGGAAAATTCCCACTGATTTCCATGGGAGGCACCCACAGAGCACTGCAGTCCTACACCTCAGGAACAGTGGTGGAGTCACATTCTCAGGAGCAATCGGAGCGTGGCGCGATAACCGCCCAAGGTTAATGTGCAGGTGGAGAAGGAGAAGTTTGTTGGCTTTAAGCACAAGGTTAACACCTTGGAAGCAGCAGAGCCACTGGTATCTGCACCAGGAGAGGGGCAGGGCTGCCCTGATCCCACCAGCACTGCAATCCAGAGCTGTCCCAGAAATGAAAAAGGAGCCAGTGCACCAGCTCGGATCCTAAAAACATATCGGCTGAAAGAGTCCAGGGAGGAAGAGTGTCAGGACTCATGATCTTAGAAGTTACCTGATCTTTTCACGAGTTTTTCTCCACCAAAGTAATATGCACGTTTTGGAAGTTTACCTGCCTTCTCAGTCAGGCTTGTTCTGTAAAAAGTGGGGAATTTGTTTTTTGTAGAAGAGAGCTCGGTGGGAGCATACCTGGGTGTGCCTGAGGGAGTACCTGTGCATGTGCATTGGTAAATTAAAACAATATATGTCCCTGGCTGGAATATCAGGATAATGCTGACTGTTTTATCCCTGGCTGGGATACCAGGACAATGCTGATTGTTTGCTCCCAACTTTTTTTAAAAAGCCTGGAAGGTGTTTGAAGGCACGTCTGGAATCCAAGCAATGGTATCGTTGGATGCCACTGACAGGCAGCTGAAACACGTCAGGCATTTGGGGCAGGCAGGATGAGCCTAAACTGGTCACATCTCCACCCCTGTGCATTAAACTTCCCTGGTCCCTGTGGGCAGGAAGCCTCTGTGGTCCTTCACTGCCAAGGACAGATACCAATTTTTCTGGTCACCTGTGCTGCACATTAATCCAAGATGCTTTCACCCCTGAAGCCATTCCCAAAAACCTCCCAGCTCCTCAGTTTCCCAGGGTACAAGGCTGTTGACCAAGGCCAGAGTATGACACCTTCACCAGTTGTGATCATTTCAAAACCAGGGCTCAGTGTGGAAACTCTTACCCTGGAGAGCAGCACCTTTTTAATTTAAGGCACTGCTTACATCAGGAGCAGTGGCAGGTTTTCATGTATCTTGTCTGAGATGTGAAAGCAAGTTTTCCAGTTAGTATCAAGTCATGAAAAGGCACAATTGCTAACACTGGCAAATTTTCTCTTACAGGAAGAATTTTCACTGGCAGAATAAAATTAAGCCAGACTGGAGAATCAAACCTACTGTTTAAAATCAGAATCGTGTGGGCTGGGCTGGCAGGCCAAAGGTGTGATTGAGTGTCCTTGTCTGCTGAGTCTTTCCACCCTGTTTGTACTGACAGAGCATAGTTGTGAGGGGGAAAAAAGTCATCCCTTCATTTCAGAAGGCAAAAAGCTTTGCCTTTGGAGTGGGTGTGTGTAACCAGCAAGGAGCAAATTGCTGTGGCTGAGCACTGAACAACACAACAAGATCCGTGTGCAAGAGGAAAAGAGGGAACATTCCTCAGTTCAGTTTGACTCAAGGTGCCTGACCGTAAATACTCAGATTATAAATTATTAGGAGGTGAGCTGGGTTTTGCACCGTTATTTTTTTAAACTAAGTGGTTGTCTTAGCCAGATTTCCAAGGAATACAGCCCAATCCTGGTAGACACATTGGTCTTTACTCGAGTCAAGCACGAATGAGATTCCCACTGACCACTAGATGGCAAATTGTTACAGCAACTTCAACCTGGTTTTCTTACTGCAGTCTGGATCTTGCTGTCATTAGGCTGGTAAAAGCACCGATTAGGAGCAAAGCATAAATTAAAAATAAAATGCAATTAATCCCTATCAACCTGTTCCCCAGAAAATAGAAGCGGAGTCAGGATACAGGGGATTAGGATTCTTTCTTTCAGATTTCTCAACCAGTGTAATGTTTATTTTCACATGTAATTATTCCCCACTTGGTGATTAACTAAACTAATTTTTGATGTCTTAATATTTTTAGTTTTTCTCTCTAATAGATATAGGTATGTATATATTCCATTATATAATAAGACATTGCATTTGCATGAGGTTTATTAATCAAGTATTCCAAAGTGTTCCACATAGCAAAGATTCCCAAGCTCTAATGTGAGTGAAGTCTTTTCCCTTTCAGAAAGGGGACGCAGCAACGGGTTAAGGATCAATCTGACAAAGGCCAGTCCCAAGCTGACCCTGAGCACAGGTAAGGGGGGGCAGCCCCAACACTCCTGAATTTTTATCTCTCTCCTTATCACCGCCCTCTTGCCACCAAGAGAAATCCAAGCAGCCTCCTCTGTCTCTGCCCCTGCCCAGTCCTGCTCAGCCAGGCTCCTTCCTTGGGAATGAAGAGCCCACAGAGGGGTTATGTGGCTTTTGATGTGGGGGTTTTTGGAGGACACCGGGGGCAAAGGGGATGGAAAACTGGCTGGAATTCTGTAGCCAGGTCTCTGTTCCTTGCAGACAGGTCCTGCCAGTCATGGTCACATCCTCTCACACTTCTGCAAGTCCTTTTCTTTGCCCTTTCTCTCAGCTCAGTA